TCCCCTAAATTTAGGACTGACTGCTTTGTTGCCAGGGCGTTGATTCCTACTCATAGGGACCATTGAGGACAGAACTGCCTCTTGGGGTTTTTTGAGCTACCGGGTCACTTTGCGTTGGAATAGACTCATTGGCAGAGAGTGAGAATGGGCATGGGAGCAGGTCACCAGGCCCTCTCTCCCAAAGTAGGAGTATAGGCAGAGTGCTCCATGGACGGAAGATGGCGAGACTTTGTCTCCTCGATTTTGGGCATGTTGTCAGGTAGGGCCCGTTTTCTGGAGATGGATTTCATACTAGGTAAAGTAGTGGGGTCAGTTGATGGACACACTGTCTACAACAGTAGGCTCAGAAAATGATTGAGGATGGCACAAGACTGGGCAGTGTGTCGATCTGTTGTAAATAGGTTGCTAGAAAAAGCTCACTGCCAGTGAGGGAAATCAGACCGCATAGCCACCGTGTGGGGTGGGGTGGGGTGGGGAGAACTGCCTTGTGGGTTTTCAAGATTCACTCTCTTACGGGAGTTGAAAGGCTCATCTTTCTCCCATGGAGCCAGCTGGTGGTTTTGAACATGAGTTATAGGTATATTGGTTAATGTGGCCCTTCCAGCCATAGTCCCGTATGTGGTAGTATATAATAATTCTCTTTTCATATGCCTGTGGCTGTGGGCCCATTTTGGAGGGCACTATCTGTTAACAACCAGGAATGGGATGAGATGGGGCTCTGACTTTAATGGAAGGTGTGACTCGGACCACACTCTGTTTAATTATTATTTTAGTTACTAAGTATTGACTATGAAGGTAAGAAATTATATACATTACAGCTGAGGAGAAATAAAAATGGTTTCTGGAGTGGCCTGGGGAAAAACTTGACTGATTAAGATTAGCAGGAGGCCAACGACTACTGGAAACGTGCCTGAGGCCTGAGGGCATAGATACGTAAATAAGAGACATTCTAGGGGTAGAGAATGGAGTGTTACATTTGGGTGAAATCTGATTGCACCATGACCCACCCATCAAAAGACCTTTCCCTGCAGGGTCTGGTAGGAAGGTGGGGAGAGACTGATCAGATTTGCCTGTGAGTGATTGTGAACAGGACCCCCTGCAATGGTAAAGAATTCACTGAGAAGCACCGGTGTGAGCCAGGAATGGAGTGAGTCCTCTAGGCCCAGCCTGACTTACCTCTGCCCGCCCTTTGGGTTTTGGTCCGAACTTCAGCCCTACTGCGTGAGACATTTCCTCGAACTTTTGTGAGTTCTGTGGCACACTGCAGCAACGAATCTAAGATTTGAGAGTATGTACTCGTGGTGGGGAAATGCTAACAATTGCCCAAAGACACTTACCACTCTGCTATACCCCTCAGCCCAAGTGCATTCAGCTCCAACACCCCACTCCAGTAAGCCTTGGCCTGAAGGCACTTAGCTCCACTCCCAAGGTTCAGTGAGCCCAACTTCCCCAGAGGCATCCCCGTCTGTAAGCCAGCCTCCATTCAGCACAAAGACATTCAGCTGGGAAGTCCATCTCTGTTCCATGCGCTGGCTCCTGGTTTCGGTGCTGCTCCTCTGATCATGTAGCTGTTATCGGGATCCAGGAGTTCACTGCATAAGGACGCCTTACATCTCTCGTTCTTGCTCCGTGGGTAATTGCACACAGACAAACCCTTTCAGTATCTTCCCCACCTTACCAGATCCATGCAGGGAAAGGTCATTGGTGAAATGTTAGAGACTTTGGCTAAAAGGCTATAACTGCGCTGCATTGATTTTTAAGGAAGTTTGAAAAACTAAATGACTGTGTTGCGATCGTGGTACATTAGAAATAGCCACTGGCAGGCTGTGATTCAAATCTTTTCCAGAATCTCGAACTTACTCGCATGTGACTTAGGCATGTCAGACAACTTGGGTGTTTTTGTCATCTTTCGGTTTCTACCTTTCATGGCTGTCAATAGAGAGATCATGAGATAAATCTGACATTATGAAATGTTGGAATAGCAAGGAAAAGCTATTTAGTAAAATTGAAGTCCAGATATTTTTAGTATTAATACTGATGGTACTAAGTTTTCAATTGTAAAGTACTGCAATCCTGGGCAGTCCTCATTCCCCACAAAACACATATTGGTGACATGGGCCACCTGGCCATAAACGAAGCATGAGAGAAATACAGAAGCTGAATTGAAAACACTTGCGGAGTAAGATTTTGTTTGTCTTGTAGGCATTTTGTTCCCAACATCACCTTTGGTCACCCCGTGGTAGAAAGCCTTCGAAAGCAGCTAGGCCAGGACCCCTTCTTTGGTAAGTCTGCATCTGAAGCTGGGCTTTTGGCTCGTGTCAAGGAAAGAGTGGATGGCTTGTTTCTCATGGCCAGCTTCGTCTTTACCCTCTCCTTCCACGGCCTTCTTCAGGACTTCTTTGGCTTGGCTCCTGGTAGGCAAACCAAGACAGTTTCTGCCTCGGCTTTTGTACCTACTTGCTATTCCCTTCAGACTTGTTTGCTCTGCTTCTTTATGCCTCAGTTGCTTTGTCCTTTCCCCAGAGAGACCTTTCCATATACCCTAAATTAACCCTTATCCACTATTAAATCCCCTTACAACTTCCTTCGACCTGAAATTAATCAGACTACCAGCGCTATAAGGGTAGAGATTTAACCCATCTTGTTTTTCAGGGTTTTCAAGAGCTAAGCACAGGTGCATGGTTGGTGTGTTAGTCTGGGTAAACTGGGGAAACAAATCCACAGAAACTCATATATATGGATATATGAGTTTTATATAAAGGGTAAGTGGACATTAAGAAAGCATCCCAATCCAGTGCTGTCTAAGCCCATAAGTCCAACATTAGCCCAGATATCCAACACTGATCTACAAAGTCCTCATTCTCACAAAACACACACGATGATGCCAACTGAAGGAGGAAAGCCCAATCATTGAGCGTGTAAGCACCTCAGCACTGCCAGGGGTCTCCATGTGGCTGCTCCAGCACCCAGGGCTGCATCATCGGGGTAAGTCCATGTGGCTTCTCCTCAAGGATGTCTTGCAGGAAGTGAGCCTTGCCAGCTGAAGCAGGGAACTGGCTGAGGCAGCTGCACCCTGGTCCGACCATCAGAGAGCAAGAGACCTGAGAATTAGAAAGGCGAGGCCCACTGGGGCATTTATCTCTCCGCCCTTCAGTTAATCCCATATGTGTTTATCGGCCAGGTTGGCACAATAAACCTTAACTATCTCAGTTGAGTTCATTACATATTAAATATATGTATGATTCCATTGGTTGGATTATACTCTTGAAGTTTCTTCTTTCAGTCGATTGGATTGAGAATTTTGAACAGGTAAAATATACACGCTCTACTTGGGAAATATGAATTCAGACTGTGTTCACATGGAACATAGATTCCGTTGTGTAAGCTAAGTTAAAAGCACATCAATTTTTTACTGATTTTAAACTAAATTAGCAGTTCATTGTCAAATTTCTTATCCAAAAGAAATTTTACCACATTTTGTAAATGTATATCTTTATGTAAGTAGGGAATTTAGCAATAATTAGATTTTAAAATTATAGAACTTCATGGACTTTAGCTGCACTGTTCAATATGGGAGGCACTAGCTACATGTCTATTTAAATTAACATTTTGATTTAGATTCTAAGTCACATTAACTACATTTCAACTTCGGAATAACGCATATGGTACAGGGCCGCTCAGTACAGGTCCATCATCGCAGAAAGTCCTTTCAGACAGAGCCTCTCCGGGATCTTTCTACTTTAGTGCACCAATGAAATAGCCATTATCAGCTCACTTAAGTAGCATAAGGAAGCAGTGTTCTACTGACAAGAAACTTCTAAGTAATGATGTAATTTTGTTTAAACATAAAATGTTTTTAAACCATCTTTTGGAATATTTATTTTCTAAATTAAATTTCATAGTCTTTTAATACCATGTAACAGATGTCATGACCTTCTGTGAATTGCAGTCACTTACAAGGTCTGTCAGAGGTGGGTGAGCTAGGAAGATCCACTTCTTTCTTTTAGGTTATTTTGTTGTGCTATATGTCTTATTTTTCCTTCCTTCTGTTGGCCACATTTCTTCCTGCTGCCCCTGACCCCTCTTGCCATTGTCTCTCCTCTTAAACCTTCTGGTCACCACTGCGTACACTCTGCTTTTTCTTGCATGGTCTATGTTTGTTTGCTGATAAACTCCCTAATTAGTCTTTCTAGGACTGAGTCTACAGTAAAAGTGAATGGACTCAGTGTACTTTACTATTGGGGTTGAAGGAAAAGTTTGCTCTTGCTTTTATCTAAATCTGTGGTCAAGGATATTCGATAGATAATTTATGGGTCTAGGATATGTATGTATAGGGAGAACAATGTTCTTTGGTGGCTACGAGAGGTGGGATGGGGTGAAAAGGGTGCTATATATGATAGATACTTGCTATTTTGTTCATTGTAAAGGTGACATCAGATGCAGATGTAGTGAACCCAACCAAAGTGAAAACGAGTGTTTGAGCTCATGTGGATGGATGGATGGGCGTAGGCATATTAGTATATAGTGGTGTGTATTTAGATGACAACAGATAAAAGGATCTATAAGGATATGTAAATATAAATATGTGGGTGCAGGCGCATACACACCTTCCAAATTTATTTTTACTGTTTGAAAGCTTTGATCGGAGTCCCATGAGACAATTTGGTCAATTAGCATAAAACAATGGTTTGCCTTCTAGTGCAATGAGTAGCATCTGGGGTCTTAGAATCTTGCGAGTGGCTCTGTAAGACACAACTACGGGTGCCTACTTATCAGAAAGATGATAAGCAAAAGTTGAAGGAACAACCAAGTCTACACCAGCCGGAACTTCATCTGCCCTGAGACCAGAAAAGCTACATAGCGCCTAGCTACCATGACTGACTGTTCTGACCAGGGTCGAAATAGATGATCTTGTATAGAATGGGAGAATTTGGAGCAAAAGGCAAGTTCTTTACAAATTAAAAAAAAAAAAACTTAAAAAGCCAGCACTCTGTCACTGTAGAGAAGAGAAAATGCCCTGAGCTTATTGTCTTGAAACGAGATTTAAACCAAGAGCCACACAGAGACCGCCCCCTGAGAGGGACCTTTAAACAAAATAGCAGGGTGACTCACAGAACAAAGGATATTAGCTGTGAGAGCAGAGCTCTACTTAAAAACTATCTGAATGTGTTAGTCTGGGTACATTAGAGAAGGAAATCCACAGAAGAGAGTTTCATATAAAGGTTAAGTGCACATCAAGAAAACATCCCAACCCAGTGCTGCCCAAGCCCACAAGCCCAACATTAACCATATGTCCAACACCAATCCACAAAGCCCTCCTCTATCTCAAAACGGAAGCAATGATGCCAACTGCAGGAGGAAAGCCGAGTCAGTGAATTTTGTGTAAGCATCTCAGCACTGGCAGGGGTCTCCACACAGCTGCTCCAGCACCCAGGGCTGCATCGGAGTAGGCCATGTGGCTTCTCCTCAGGGATATCTTGCATAAGGTGACCAGATTTTAACATTGGTAAAGCGGGACACCATTGATAAAACTCATATCCTGGCAAAATAGCCACATGGCAGCCGAAAACCGTATACCCTAGCTTGTCATGCATTCTTTCCAAAAATTGGGAGTTTTTTAAAACGCCGCAGGACGCAGGAAAAATTGTTAAAAATCGGGACGTCTGGTCACCTTAGTATTGCAGGAAGTGAGCCTTGCCAGCAGGGAACTGGCTAAGGCAGCCGCACCCTGGTCTGACCATCAGAAAGCAAGAGACCCAAGAACTAGAAAGGCGAGGCTCACCAAGCCATTTATCCCTCTGCCCTTCAATTAATCCCACATGTTTATCGGCCTGGTTGGCGCAATTAACTACCTCAATCCACCTGGCACTTGTACATAATTCTTTAGCTTCACGATTGAAATTAAGTAACACCTACACCTTAATCCTATAATCCTGTGAATATGTTTCCCCACCTATGAGTTTGTAAACCAACCACTTCATGCGTTTATCCCTGCAGTTTTGAGTATCCAATTTATATACTGCCCACTTAAATCAACCCAGTTCTGAAAAGACAATCATTTTTTTTAACATGAAGTGTCTGCATTCCAGTTGGAACCTTGTGAAGTCTGCATCCATAAGCAAAGTCAAATCCGGACAGGCCATCCATAAAGTCAGTAATAATATGCACCAGTTCACAGGCTCAAAAATCTCCAGCTGGTCGGATTCTGGTCAACTCAATGTGGGCTGCCTCACTCAGTCTCCTCAGGGTGCCCATTGGTCGCCTTGCCTTTCGACCATGGGCTCTCACCAATACTCAACAAGCCTAGTCCCCTTGTGCTAGGTCATGAACCCTAGACCAGTCAACCTGCTCTCATCTTCTCTTTTTTCCTGTAAACCAAGTCCACAGGTGTCAGTGGCCAAACTCAACCCATCTCTTTATTGCTGCATTTCTCCCACTTCGACTCAGCAAGTAGATCCAGGTGGTCACCTAGCAAGTATTTTAGCCTGCTCTCAGGCTCTCTTTAACACAGTATGACACAGAAGGTCAACAATTACTCAGCAGCCACGATGAGATAAAAGGAGAGGGAAACTAGAGTACTGGAAATGCTAGCACAATTAAAGAGAATGTGGACAGAGTGATAGGTGTAACTGATGTCACTGAACAATTTGTTGGTACACTCGAATGGAAACCTAACTTTGGTGTAAATTTATACCAAAATTTTAATAAAATACCATTTTAAAAATGTCTTGACTTTTCAAGTGATCGATTGAGGTCAAAACTATGTCCATAATACTAAAATAATGTGTCCTGTTATTTGTGCTGATGGTGTAAAAGACTTCCCCAAAAGCCCACTGCCCTCAAGTCAATTGCAACTCAACAAATGATGATATCGTTTTAGTTATTTAATATGTAATTATAGTGTGTAGGCTTCCGTCTATTTAATATGTAGTTCTCCGAGTCTGGAGAAATGCACACAGTCGTCAAGGTAAAGAGCAGATCCGTCACTCCCCAGAGATCACTGTGTCTTCATCATCAGTCCCTTACGCTACCCACAGAGCATGGCAACCAGTCTTATCTTCCAACTACAGCCTTGGCTTTTCCAGTGTTGACATTCCTCTCCTTAATGTACAGCACTCTCCCCACCTCCTCCCAGGGCTCCCCTTTTCACTGGCCTTTCTTTCCTGACCCCTACCTGGTTAATAAGTTTCGATTTGGGGCAAATGCTTTTTGTTTGGTGTATGGTTGATTGCTTGAGTAATACATTCCTCATAAATATTATTGTTCACTTTATAGGTTGAAAAGTAATCCCCTATTGGGTTCAGTTCCATGATTGAAGGGTGTCTCAGAGGTCCACTACTCTGCTAGACTGGGAGGTCTGGTCATTTTATGATTTTGGATTTTCTTCTCTATCTCTACTGATCTCTCCAGGACCACCTGCTACCATATATACCCGAGGATAAGCTGACCTGAATATCAGCCAAAGCACCTAATTTTACCACAAAAACTGCATTAAAAATGTGCTGAAAAACTTGGCTTATTTATACACGAGCATATTTTTTTAAAGTTCTTAGCTTTTAATTTCTAATATATTGACCTAACATCAGCTAAATTATTTCCAATAATTTTTAAGACTGTAAAAGGAAATTTGAGGTTGGAACAGTTGAGAACCATTGATCTTGCTATGAGCAGAGTTTGCCGACCCATAAACTTACTAAACATGGTTGAGATTTTCCAAAGAGGCTTGCTGGTGGTCACTGCTTGGTAGAGATTGAGTAAGGATGACATTAACAGTCTAGTAACCTAAGGAAAGCATAAACAAAATCCATTTTTTGTGTGTGGAAACATTCAAGATCAATAAATGTAAATGTGTGTCTAGCTATTTGATGCCAGAAAGTTTAAATCTGAGATGACTGTTCCAAGCCATGCTGGTAATACAATTTCTGCTATTTTCCATTAATTAAGATTCAGGAGACATATTTTTTTCTTTTTAGACATGCACATGATGGTGTCCAGGCCAGAGCAGTGGGTAAAGCCAATGGCTGTCGCAGGGGCCAATCAATATACTTTTCATCTGGAGGCTACTGAGAATCCAGGGGCTTTGATCAAAGATATTCGGGAGAATGGTATGAAGGTGAGAATTCAGTGGCGATGGTAACAATTTTTACACTACTTTCAAAGTTTAGAAGATTTGATGGCAGGTAATGATCCGTAGTTGAGACTTGGCTTAAGCACTGTAAAGCCAGAGATTTGAGTATAATTTGCCTGTCAGACAGACTTATTCTACTAATGTTTGCTAAAAGCTATTTCTTAAAGTTACTGGCTTTTGAGACATTTAAGTTCAATAGCCTTGTTGGCTTTTTCTCTTTAAGGCTGTCTTCTGAACTAACAAGTATTCTTTTATTCATTTGACTTAGGTATATATATATTTAAGAATATCATTTTTATTTGGCCTAATGTTTTACAAAATGCACTGTGGAAATATCGCATTTGCTCGAGTATAAGCTGACCTGAATATCAGCCGAGGCACCTAATTTTACCACAAAAAAATTGCATTAAAATGTGCTGGAAAACTCAGCTTCTACGCGAGTATATATGGTGATTGCTGATTTGATGGTCAATTTGTCTGTGTTGTAGGTTGGTCTTGCCATCAAACCAGGAACTACAGTTGAGTATTTGGCACCCTGGGCTAATCAGATCGACATGGCCCTGGTTATGACCGTGGAGCCTGGGTTTGGAGGGCAGAAATTCATGGATGACATGATGCCAAAGGTAAAAAGAAAGACGTTCTAAGGGTGGTTTTTATTACATCTGATACACATGTTGGAAATCAAAAAATATATTTTATCTTTATTGTAAGTAATCTTTATATTGTCTTTATATTCTTTCAAGATCATTATTCCCATAAGCTTCAGATCTCGAGAATTTCCAGGAATATTGTGGCTTTTGTTTTGGTCTTGTTTCTGTGAGACATACTTTCTGTCCATTATGATGAGTTAAATGCTATTTACTAAATGGAACAAAGATTGCTCTGACAAAACTGAATTTCTTCGGGGGCATATTGTTGTGGTTTATACTGGCATCTTGATTTTTTTTGTTCTGGCTGGTTTTTCTCCTCACCTGTCTACTTTAGAAATCACGTATTTCCTCATGTGTGTCTAGGTCCACTGGTTGAGGACCCAGTTCCCGTCTTTGGACATAGAGGTTGATGGTGGAGTAGGTCCTGACACTATCCATAAGTGTGCAGAGGTGAGACTGCTTCTCAGCTGTGACTTGGGCCAATTTCTTATTCAATGTATTGTGCAGAGCATTGTTTTCAGGCCAGAAATAATTTCTGTGTATTTCCTAAATGGGCTTTCTTTGTTGGAAAAGTATTGTTTTGATTTTAAGAATTTGGGGTCTGTTCCATGTGCTGCTCCTGTTCTGTCAGGACCCGTGTGTGGTGGCTCTGATCAGAATGATCATGGTGGTAGCCAGGCACCATCTAGATCTTGTAGCTTCAGGGTAGATGAAGCCCTGATTGGTGTAGACGGTCCTCAAGGGTAGTTTCTCCTCTGAGTCTTGGGTTCCAGTTTCGCTTTTCCTCTTGACTACTAGAAACCAATAGTTGTATCTTAAATGAACGTTCACAGCTTTTAAAACCCTAGCCACTACTCACCAGGATAGGATGTGGAACTTAAACTTCATGAACTATATTATGCTGATTAACATAGTTGTCCCTTAAGACTATGGTCGTAAGCATTTAAACCCAGAAAGCTAATACTGCGAGGTATAGTTGGTTAAGACTAAGAAGTATCTGTAGCTGTCTTCTAATATTTTATTACAAATATGTACCCATACATACATACATACATGTATTTTTAAGCCCCCATTTTTATATATGCACGTGTGCACTCATTTACACATATTTACAAATGTGTGCAGTCACGCATTAAAAATGCACATAATTTTGGTTGTTGCTGTTAGGATTTTTTTCCTCTTTGAATTAAATTGCTTACATATTCTGTGCTTCTCAAAGTGGCTTGTGTGTAATTAAAATACTGATTGACAGATGGAAGAGTAGAAACTCCAATCCAGGAATTCTGCTTTAGGATCTTTTGTGTCGTCCTATGAGACGTAACCTAAGTGTTTACTTCTTCCAGGCAGGAGCTAACATGATTGTGTCTGGCAGTGCCATTATGAGGAGTGAAGACCCCAGATCTGTGATCAACTTGTTAAGAAATGTTTGCTCAGAAGCTGCTCAGAAACGTTCTCTTGACCGATGAGACCTCAAACAGCTCCGTATTTCTGCTCATGAAATCTCCTTTTTACTGGAAAACAACAATGTTGACTACCAAACCATATCACAGTCTAGGCACTACTTTTCTGAGCAATTTTCATTCCAGTAAAGCAAAAACTAAGTGAAGAACATTCTAAGGGTGGAAATCGGTGTGTGTATTCTAATCTACATTTTCAGTGGTGGAATTTAAAGATTGGTATGGTGAATACGCTGTTTTTACTGGGAGACTTGATTTTTTAAAAAAGACTATGGCATTGTTAAGTTTACAAAATAGAAATGTCTTAATGCCAAAGAAGGCATATTAGCTACTATGAAATAAGGTTTTTCTTTCTAGCATGGATTTTTTGTTTCTTATTTTGCAAAAGCAAAGGTAGTCATTACATTTTTCCCGTTTCACATATTTGTGATTTGTGTATATACTCTTGATAATAGGACCAGAATAATTCTAAGATCAATTCAGCTGGGATGAGATCCAGTATCATTCTTGCCTCTAAACCTATTTTCACTTGTCACCATAGTGATGCATTAAAACTCTTAGCGAATCTCTGAAGTTCAGGGGTGTCAGTGCTCTGTGCTACACCATCAGCGCAGGAGCTGCTGGGTGTTCTCTACCTGTTTTGCTAGAGGAGCCGCTTAGTGATGACTTTCCTCTCATAATCCCATCCACCTGTTATTCTCAAGGACATGAAATAATGCTGTTGTTCTGATTACAAAGGAAAAGTAAAGCCTATCCAAAATACAGACTTCGTTGATATGTTAAATCTAATCACATCTATGGATTGTAAGGCAGGTATTCTGTCCCCATTTGGGGGGGTGGGGGGGAGGCAAAACCCTAACAGCACCCTGGAAAGGATCCAGTAGGAAATCAGATTCTGTCAGCACTACTTTGACACATGGAGTCCTGGAGAAGTGGCCTAGGCAGACAGGAAGCTTCTTTTCACTTAACATTGCCTTATTTTTCTTCAGGAATTGTATATTGCCACCCCCCATTACTACCACCACCCCACCGCCATCAAGCTGATTCTGCCTCAGAGACCCTATACAGGACAGGTTAAAACTGCTCCTTAGGGGTTCTGAGACTAAATCTGTGCAGAGACAGTGAAATCTTTGCCTTAAGAGTAACTGATGGGTTTGAACCATTGGCCTTGTGTTAGCAACCAGTGCTTGGCTCACGGGACCCCAGCAGCTCCTTTATTGCCTCAAGATTTATATTTTTCCAAGACAGACCAGGTGAACTCAGAGGTGGCATTTCATGATTTAATCCGTAAGCTTTAGTTTATGGATCAAATCTGCACAACACGCCATTTTAAGGCTATGCTTTCCATTGCACTGAGCCAACACCTGGGTGGTAACCATTTTGTTCTAATATTTTTGCAGTGTAAGAATATGCAAGAAACAACCAGACCAGTGTCCGTAAACTTCACTGAATTCCTATGAATTGTGGGGAACAGATTTGAAAAACAGAATGTTAACACGTAAGCATAGACTAGAGCATCCTTGATTTTTTTAAATTGCACTAGGCAGATTTCTGTTATTTTTTTTTTTTTTTTGGCTTAGGAAAATGTGGTGCCATGAATAGGTAGCGTTTTAATCAAGTCAAACAATGCAAAGTATATAGAAATAACTTTTAATTAAAAAACTTACATAGAAGATTATAATCTCAGACATGACAGAAAGATTTAAGTTTGCCTGGCTTTTGTTTTCTCCTTAAAAAACAAGTGTACAATAAAACTATAAGAAGTTTTGTCAGTATTGAAATTTGAATATTTTTCCCTTTGAAGGAACCAGTAGAATGTCTAATTCCTAACAGAAAATGTCAGATCCCATATAGGTTATGTCATCTGGCCAGGATGGTCAGTTAAATGGGTTCAACAACTTGAATAACCTATCTTTTTTAACATAAAAAATGATTCATATAAATGTCAACTTATTTTTTTAATGTACCAGCTCCAGAAAGAATTTTTCCAATATAAATGCTTCAGTATCCTTCGAGAATTTTTCTGTCTCACTCTAGAATGCAAGTCAGAATAGATGTTTAATATGGCAAGGACTTAACAAATAGCTCATGATAACAATATATTTTAAGTTGCTTTCGTTCTATGACTTCCTATTTGTTGGTTGCTTTAAATTAGTGTCTTCAGAACACAGTGAGAGAGGGGTCTAATAAAGTAGATAAAACTCAGAGTTGCATCAGCATGTAATTCTACTTTGCTTGTTTTATAATGTTAAGAGTGAATAGAAACTAGCCTGTGATTAGTCCAACAGAAATCAGTACTTTCAAATAAATGAGTATTGTACCATCTGGTTATAGGAATTTCCATAAACGACCAGCTTTTGGTAAACGCTTTTCCTTTAAACAACCTCCCTCCTCCATGGTCAAGACTTGCAGATGCCACTGGAAACCTGTAGTTTTTAATGTACAATGCAGCTTACATTTCATGTGTAACTCATACATGCGTTTTCAAGTGGTTTGGGTTATTGCCAGTGGCTTTCAAAAATACAGATGTGCATGAGTATATATATGTGTGTATGCTATACACATGTCCATGCTAGTATATTTTGAAGATGATTTTAATTCCCATGTGTACAGGAAAAAAGAATAGCTGTCAGTTGACACACGTGTGTGTGTTATCTTAAAAATTATTTACCTAGTAATGTTACTTGACTTCAAATTGCAGCTGTTGATTTCTTGGTGCTAGTTATTTGCTTGATTAAATGCAAATGACTAGAACTTGTATACAGATAGTTAGTTTTTCCCGTGGTTAAAGAAGGAAAACAAGGTTTATCGTGCTTGTTTCATAAACGGCATAAAAATAGTACATGCAGTACATGCTCTTATTCTGGAGTTATGATTAGGAGGCATGAAGGGTCAAGAACAGGACTTTTGTTTAATGCTGTTTTCTCTTCAGTTACATAGTTTTCTTAACCAGCCTGTTCTCTGTCACCTATTTTGTTTAACATTGAGTCTTAAACCAAACACTCTATAGTCTTCCGTTTCATCTGATGGCTGCTTTGCACAGTGGCCGTTCTCTGCATTGGTGTAGAAGATTTCCCCATGGAAAGTCGTGCCAGACCTTTCCATCTGGTCCTTTTTCTCATCTTGGCACAATAAGGCTGCTGAATCTTCGTCCTTCAGTGGAAAAACCCTTCGTTCCCACCATGAAGGCTGAAAGGAAAAATGTTTGAGCTAAGTTTCTGTTTGGTTTGTTTTGTTTCAGTTCACTTATCAAGTAATCTGCAAATGGTTGACTCTGCAGGAACGGTTCTGTTCTTTTGGCACAAAACTGTGTACATTTTCTGGGTCTAAGTAAATCTAGCAACTCAAAATGGAAAGGATAGAGACAGTCTGTGGAAAATGCTATTCCTTTCATCCCATTTTCCACAAACTTTTAGAGCCCCCCTCGTAGTTGAGCAACCTTTCGTAGAAGTTGTTTTTTTAACTTGGTCTCTGCCAAGAAAAGGATATGCTGCCATGGGGCATTCGTCTTTATTTTTAGCCCAGAGGATCTTGGGAAAGCCCATGCAAAGTATTTTTAAATACGCTCTACATCTACTTCAGTTCCATTTCTGTCCCTTCTTACACCCCTGCCCATTCCTTCTGTAAGCTTTCTGCAACTTATCAATGCCCTACAGTGTCTACTCTAGACATTGCCTTAAAATTAGGTGTTGGAAGAGCCAAAGTACAGAAACTTAAAAACACTCTCCTCGAGGTTAGAACTGGACCCAAGAGGAGATGAGTAATATATATATATATATATATGAGAAAATGCAGCTAACAAATACTGTGATTCTGTTTATCAGATTCATTTCATAAGCAAACTTTATAAAGGCACCATTTCCTGATATTTAAGGGAGCAGGTAGAAGTTTAGGCTGACAGGCTGCATCAAGAGGCAGTGTTTGTAGTTCGTGATGGAATTGGAATGCAGAGCTATAGATCAGTGGTTCTCAGCTTGTGGTTCATGTCCCCTTTGGGGGTCGAATGACCCTTTCACAGGTGTCGCCCGATTCATAACAGTAGCAAAATTACAGTTATGAAGTAGCAACGAAAATAATGTTATGGTTGGGGGTCACTACAGCAGGAGGAACTGTATGAAAGGGTCGTGGCATGAGGAAGGTTGAGAACCACTGCTACAGAACCTGATTGTTGCCCATCATTCTACAGTGGATTGTCGTAATGATGAATACTGTACTTACTTTTCAGTAAGCAATTTCTAAGGTAAGTTTGTTTTATTAAGAAGTGGGTTAAGTAATTGTGTCCTTACTTTGGTTTCCTGACTTTCATTGAGGAAAGGGGAACTGTGTGCACAGGGCTCACGACTTTCCAAGGGAAGTGCAGGAGGGCTTTGAGTAGCGCAGTGCGGTCCACTACTGAAGTCACTGTCTTCTTTCCAAAGGAAGTCCTGCCCTTCAGCAGTTTTACTGAAAGCTCTATCAAGAAAATACATAATTACTCATGATTTCTTGAAGAGTTAACATTTTCTCCCCTTAGCAGTTCTGCCCAACATTTTAAAATTCACATACTGGTTTTCCCAATGCTATTGTCATATCTCAAAGGCTGTTATTTATGAAACCCTCTGTCAAATTATAATAGTGGAGTTTGTTTGCTTGCTTGCTTTTATTTTGAGGAAGACAAATAGGGCAATTACTTGACCCTTACAGTCTGAGATCTTGTAATGTCACCCATGCTGTCTCAATTCACATTTTTCCTCTATTTCTGCAGAGTTGTCTCCAGAATGTGGAGAAAAATAGAAATTGCATTTTGTGTGTTAATTAAGATGTAATAATGGATCTTTGCAGCAAATTTGGTTAACTTGATACCTAAAAGATAAATTGTTTTAATGGTACTAATTAAGAGATTCCCCTTAACTAAAGTACTACCACACTTTATATGGCTTTGCTTTTTGAGGTTTGGTTATATTGAAAATAAGCAAGTGTAAATATAAAATGTTGGTCTCCCATCTATTTCAAAATTGTCATTTCAGTGATTCTTTTAAATATTATGATGCCGCCTATGGATTATGAAGGGGCTTTAAAAAGTTTGTGTGAAAATTGAATGAGATAGTGGAATTTTTTCCATGAACCTTTTTGTAGCCTCCCTCAGTTTCCCCTTTCCTCAGTCAATTTGTTTTCCAAGTTATTTTAGGCTAATTGACTTGTATTGTCAAGTTTCTTGAGGAAAAAAAAAAAGAACATTCCTGAATTATTTCCACTAAATCAGATTAATTTCTACTATGCAAATGGAATGAAAGAAAATACAGAGATTTGTCCACCATTAGGTTATTAGCCTAAATATGTTTTTAATACAAGTTCAGTATACAAATTGTCTCACCCCTAGTGTGTAAGTAGCTGACATCTGACCTCTCAAAATTCATGCAGAATCATGATCACTTTGCATGGTCCCCTAGTTTGGGGTTACATTTTAGAACACCTGCCTGCTATTTCTTCTGTGCCACTTGCTCTGCTCCCACAGTGACCACCTGGCTTGCTCTTTCTCTTCATGTGCTGTGTGTCTTTGGGAGAAGACTTCGTCAGAAAGATCTTCTATCTGAAATCAGTCAAAATGTGAGAATAGGTTATGAACCATTCCTAATCACAAGAGCATTAAGAACACTTAATCTTTCTGCTGTTGGGTCCTATTTAGGTTTACCTACATTACTAAATAAGTTAATTTTGCCTACCATTTGCTACAGCTGACTGAAAGAATTTTTAATGCTTTGCTTATCCAACAGGCTTTTTTGACACCTATTATTATTTACCACACATTGTTCTACAAATACCTTGATATGAAAGGAGAGTAAAACTGTCATAGATAAATGAGAATTTAATGAATGATTTATCTGGCTTTCTAATTTCAACAACTGATTTGAGTACAGTACTTAAAATTCTGGATGTTCTTTCCTGGTAAAGGTCACTCATTCTGAAGTAGGAGGCTTAGCAGGTTAATTAAAAGTTGCAAGAGGTGATCATAGAGTATATTTTGTATACTCTATGATATAGTATATAGAAAGATGGTCACTTGATTGTAACAAATATGTTCTAGAGCCCATCACTGTGCAAATTGTGTTTGGTCAATACAGTATTTTTCCCTTGTAATTGAGTCTTAATGTGAGTTTTACACAAACAGTCCATAGTCCATTACCTCAATTCCAAAAATTGATCATTTGTTTGGTGACACAGACCAATCTGAAATGATGTAGGCTGTTTTCGGTGTATGACCCTATGAATATTTGTTACAGCAGGAAAAATGTTTGATTATGGATTAAGTAACATAAGGACTTCAAAAAGCTCGTGGAAAAATTGAAAGGCAATGTAGTTTTACCACAAACTTTTGGAAGGCCCTTTGTTTTCATAGTATTTTGCTAAATTAAAAACAATTTGACCTCACCGTTTTGAGTATGGCAGTATAGACCTGATCACTAGTTAAGATTGCCTCCACAGGCAGATAATGAATATGAATGTTCACAAAACTGTATTGCTTCAACAAGTAACATAAATTAAAATATTAATTTGCTTTCTTTATTCTTTCCATAGATTAATTTAATAAGTGAAAAACATCAGTAAATGTTAAGAAATTTTCAGTTTGCTTTTGTTCCTGTGTGTCAAATTTAACAGGCATCATATAATGTATAATTATCCAATTAATTGAAAAGTGACTTACCTCTTCTTCACCTAAATTATAGTTCTCCAAAGGCTGAAGAACCACCATCCTCCAGCTGTTAGAAATACAAATAAATTTCACAAGGCTTTTATTAATCTATGAGAATTGAGTAATTCTCTAAGCATGGTAACACGCAGGAAAAGATTGTTCATTGTAAGGCTAAAAAACAAACCATCTGTTCTGCACAGTTGTTTTTATACCTACTAGACTAATTTTGAATTAAGTAGTTAGTTTACAGGTAAATGTCACTTCAGTAAAAATTATTGCAAAGTGGGGGGGGAGGGGCATTGGCCCATTTCTCTGGTGTAAAGACTCCCACTATAGACTTTTGTCAGGCTACTAACAGGATTCCTTGTAATAACCAGCTCTACTCTGAGCTGCTTCCTGCATAGCATGCACTGTGTAAAAACAGTGTTGCTGAATAACACAAATGTTATTCCTTATTTTGTAGAATACATCAACATTCTCTAGAGAAGTCTGATAATACTGAATAGAACACTCACTTAGAAAAAAATTTATGAAGCTGCTAGAATAAAGATGGGTAGTAAAAGTCCTGCAGCTGTTTCCCAGCTCAAGTCTCAGTTTCCAATTTCTTTTCTACTTTTTCAAAGTGCTGATTTCATAATCCAAGGAAACCACCCTCATTGCTGAAAAAAATCTTAGTAGCTTCGCTGCCAAACGGGAGCACATTTGGATATAGTATTCAAGGACCACCACAATCTGGTTCTAATAGCCTTACCTTTTACTACTTATATGCAAAAGCTCAATCTCTGGCTAAGCCTTGTGCACATGTTTCTGTGCCTTTATTCTTGCCTTCTCTGTGAAGATCCTCTTCACCTTCCTAGACTACCACTTGGTTCTTACAGATCTCTCCTTTGAACCTATCTTCCAACTTGATGTGTTTAGTGCTAACTTAGCAACACATCAAAAAATTTTTCTTACGGTGTGTTTTCCCTATAAAACAGTAGTAGCTGTGCATTCTTTTTGCAGTTGTGCAAATCTCTCACTTTAAGGCAATCTCCAACATTACTTGTTGTCATAGTTATTTACATCCATCCCTAAATTAACTTTGTACCATACACAAAATAATCCATTGCCAATGAGTCACTTCTGACTCATAGTGGCCCTATGTAGGATTTCCAACGCTGTACAATTTTAAAGGCTTACGTAGCCTCATCTTTCTCCTTCAGAGTGGCTTGTGAATATGAACCGCCGACCACAGCAGTCAGTCAGTCCATTGCTTATCCAACACTGTCACAGAGGCTCCAATATACATAAATCCTCGATGAATGAAAAAACACTCATATGAATGCTAAAGTCAGTAGAGAAATGACCAGTTTTCGGGTGGTAAAGTTGCAATAATCATGGCACTATTTTTTTCATGCGGAATGCAAAGATTCTCCATTTTCCTCCTTGATTTATATAAGTGAGAATGGAAGCGACATCTTGTTATAATAAGTTAAAATCCAATTATTACTGTGAAAATTTAAAGGAAAAGGAGGAAAAATGTATGTATAGATACCTTGGAGTAAGTATTTCCTTGTATTGGAGTTTCTCTAACTTAGCTGGGGCCACTAATGACATGGGGATTACAATGTTGTCAATGTCATAAGAGCTCTCACTTCTCAGTCTCCGCCTTGCAGTCGTCTACAAAAGAGAATGGCAGTGGTTTCAGAGTAGTAGCTGAAAGGTGTGACGACACCTTCCTTTCCAGAGTTACATGTGTTAAGGCAGTTTTGTAAGTACACTATTATGAACATAGCTATAAACTGTTACGAGGAACAATAAGGAAAGCATACTGATCTTCATTAATCCCAAACAATCTCTTCTGACAGATATATAATGTATTTTTTGTGGACATACACACAAGGCTATTTTTAAGACCATTAAAAAGTATAAGTTGCTTAGAAGTCAATATTTTTAAAGGTTAACAAAGAGTATCCTAAGTGCCAATAAAATGCTCAATGAACACACTTTTTATTTTAAAAGATGGTATGAAGTATGTTTTGGCAAGTCATTTACTATCTTCATTTATGTGTTCTGGTCCCTCCATTCTGACCTTAAACCCTCCCCCACCCTCAACTTCTCTGATCCCTGACCAGATGACAAAAACAAAACACGCTTGAGTTCTCTCTAGGTTATATTTAGCTTCGTGCTAGGAAGAAGGGACAGTCATAATGAAGTTCAAGAGTTAACACAGAAAAAGAAGCCATAATTAAGAACTGCTTGCTTCCTATATTAAAACATTTAATCAACTTAAAAATAATGAAATTTGTTACTTCTAAGATAGTTTAAAATATGCTTATATATGTGCCATTACATAAGACTGCTAAAAAATGGAAGAAAGAAAAGGCTTTCTACTCCAGTAAAGAGTTAAACAGTCTTGGAAACTACAGGGGCAGTTCTACCCCATCCTATATGGTTGCTTTGGGTTGTAATTGACTCAGTGGCAGTGAGTTGAGTTAAAGATTAGCAAAATAGTCATTTAAACCAACAAATTAAAAACTTTAAAAGCCTTAAAGTTCAACATACAAAAAAAAATTGAGCTCAACATAAAAAACAAAACCTACCTGTGAAGATGAATTTTGGGTTCTTGACATAACATTGACATTAGTAACAGCACCAAAATTGCCATGGGATCCTGCTTCTGTGTGTTGAAAAGCAATGTCTTCAAACTTAGTTCTTTCTCCTGCCACAAAAAGAGGCATTGAAAATGTCACACATTAAATACAGCTGTCAGTTTTATTAGAATTATCTTCCTAATTTAGGTGACAAATGAGTCCTTTAAAAAAAAAATGTATCAGAAAACTGACCATTCTTTATCTTTGCTAGAATACTACTTTCCAAAAGTTCTTATTCTCAGTTTTTCACTGTTGGTGGCAACCTGTGTTTTAGTTCATGAGTGGATGTTTCTTCCGGAGGACACCAAGTAGAATTTGAGTTTTTGTATTATCTGCTTCCTCCAAGGCCCACCTTCTTTTCCTCCTCATGTTGGTCCTTTTTTGTACTTATTTACATATTATGCATTTGTTTATTTTACTTTAATGTAGATCTTAAAAATAGTGTTTTCTTATGTAAATAACCTCGTTAATACGTAGGCTGTATTCACATTTTTCTTACTGAAATAATCCTTTAGGGCTAGTTTATTCAAACAGGAGTCTACATATTGGAATTGATTAGTCTAAATTTCCTATACTTTATAATATTTTTATTTTTCAGGACAGCAACTGGCCAGAAGGTCTGTACTTTGGGAGTTGTCCAATTAGTTCTTTATAATGTGTTTCATTTCACTTTCTATCTCTGTATCCATCAAACTGGAAATCTGACCTAAGGTCTCAATCCCAGTGAAACATAGGTGATGTTTATTTATAGTATATCTTATTTATTCTTAGGAGACAAAGATATTTTGAGTGAGTCACATTAGAAATCATAAGTAAACTTCTGCACACATGGAAGTTTGTTAATTTTGGAGGTGACTAAGAATGATCAGACAATGGTCTGTTATGAACAGATTTCTAGAGATGAGAACTATGTTCAAGTCTCAATGTACAACTGTAACCTAGTACATCTTGGACAGTTGTTTAAATATTTTATATTGCATGTGGAGAATAGCTAATTATCTGTTCTTATATAATGAATAAGAACCAAAGTAAGTTTTATTTTTTAATCACTGTTTACAGTAATGGCAATTGTTATTCCCAGATCCTCACCACAAATCACACTTCAAGTCTAGAACACAACCTTAAAGAATGAACTTTGTCCAGGAGGACAATGGGCAAAAGATTTTAGTGAGGGAACATGAGAAGGGAATGTCACACACCACGTTCATAACTTACCTAATGCTGTTTCACTCAAATGTCTTTTCTTTCTTCCCTGTAACAGTTGTGCAGAACAGTCTGATCTTATTTGAGGCTTACATATAGATGAATATCCATTTCTCCATTGGTGCAGTGAAGTACTATGTACTAAAACAAATGAAAATAAATGTGAAGTTTTAGTTCTTTATCATAAAGAGATAAACATGTTAACCTCGTAATACAATGCAGGATTTTAAGATACTAGGCAAAGCACTAGGTAGAATGAAATAAATGCTTAAGTGGAAAAGTTAATTTGCCCAGGATTCCTTAAGAACATCCTCAGGAAGTTCATAAGTCTATGCTTCCCTTATTATTAGAAAGAGATGTGAAAGAGGTGATTTTTGTCCCTTCAATGTCTTCCAAATTACCAAACTATATAGAGTCCAGATTGATTGCGAGCTGAAGATTTTGGTTATCAATCTTAAGTCAACCCTTGTTTACCCTTTAAAATTGCAAACAGTTCAGGACAAATTAAGTCTACAGAGTCACAACAGATTCTGTAAAAGGTAAGAATGAATTTAATCTACTTCTGATATTACCTACCATCCTATCACCTTTTTAAAGGATGAATTTATTCAAATTCTAAATCTTAACATCTCCACATTTGTTTGTCTCATCTGTAAAACCAGTTAACAGGGGAGTTATTTCTTGTAAACATCGTTAGACGATTATATAACATCAAGTGTCAATAAATATTAAATGCCAGCATTATGATTACTATTGTCTGTGTGAACCATCTATGTCCAATATTAGAATAATCAAACTGGCTTTGTTAAAGGGTTTGGAGATGTAGAAGTAAATGCAGAAAGAAGCCTCTAGGCTGCAGTGCCGCTCTCACCGTGCTCACTGAGACAGAGGATGCCCAGTCAGCCGTGACAAAGCATCCTAAAATGCTAAGACAAGATGTTAATACATCGACATGTGGCCATACACATCCAAATGAAAAGGGAACGGGTGAGTAGAGCAGAATTTCTGAGGAATCTGGTAGATTAAAAGCTTCTGTAATTTGACAAGGAAATTCAGAGCAGACACCTGGGAAAGGCCTACCACAAACTGAACACCAAAGATTGTGTACACCTGGCAGGGGAAAACAGAAGGATCATTACTTCTTTCTGTTAAGGAGTTGATGTCAACTCATAACAACTTTATAGGGCAGGATCGAATTGCCCCTATGGGTTTCCAAGACTTTAGGGGAGTAGAACTCATTACCATCGAGTCAATAACGACTCATAGGAACCCTATTGGACAGGGTAGAATTGTCCCTGTGAGTTTCCAAGACTGTTTATAGGGGTAGAAAGCCCTATCTTTCACCAGAGGAGCGGCTGGCCTTGTGAATTACAGTCCATGGCTCCAGTGAGATGACTCTCCTAGCCCACACCTTACCTGTAGATACATGAGGCTATCTGTCTCAACAAGTAACATAAGCTTGAGAGTCTAGGGAAGGGAAATGGATGGGATGAAGGAAGAGGGCATTACCCAGGTTGTCCACCTCAAAACATGCCCCAAATCCAAAAGTAAATTAAGCCTATTGCCATCGAGTTGATTTCAACTGAGTGACCTTATAGGTTTCCAAGGCTTTAAATCTTTATGGAAACAGACATCCTAATCTTTGAATTGCTGACCTTGTAGTTAAGTTAGTAGTAGCTCAGTGCATAGCCCACTATGCTATTAGGGGTCCTTTGGAAGCATGCCTTGCATTTCCCTAGTTCCTACGGTAAATAGTGTAGCAAGCAGATTGCCCTTACACGTGGCAGTTTTAGTTGAAATAGGAAGAAGCATTTTTAAAGATGAACATGCAAGCCTCCAAAGATTTAAGTATTACACTACGAAAAATGAAAGGTACAAACAATGGAAGGATTATCTCAAAACATAATTACTAGAACATTGACCAAATATAAATTAATGTGCTTTAGGATTGCCAGAAAGTAGATGAGAGGCCTCTTTAAATGATAATCATTGAAATATAAAAAGCATAGGTAATGATTGGTTTCAGTCATAGCAAGGACTCAGTGAGTTAGAGAAATTCCACAATCCGAGCAGTGGAAAGAGAGATGTGAACAAAATAAAATGGGAGTGAAAAGGAAGATTTGGGGGGGGGGGGGGGTAGTGGAATGAAGCAGAGGCAATATATGAAAAAAGTGTAAAGTTTTTTTCACAATTATATAACCCTAACACATCTTAGAACTCAACAAACACTTCTGAGTAAAATCAATCTTATAGCATATAAAAGATATCTTTAGAGCTAGCTGAGGAGAATGGATAAAAAGATTGCTGCAAGGGAATGAGAATTCGACCCCCAAAAATGAATGCAAGGAAACAATGCCTTTAAAGAGCTGATAAAAAGTGTGCTTGGCAGGATTCTAAAGGCTGTCTCCAAGATTCTCCCCTGCCCTCCCCTTAAGGAAAAAAAAAAAGTTAAATGGAAAGTAAAGTAAGAAGGCAGGATATACTGATTCCAAAAAGATTAACTAGAATTTTGCAAGTTAGGTTTTTAGTTGTATGTATGGTTGGCCCAGATAGGTATTACAAAAGTTTGTGTCCACTCTTACTGAAACATGCTGAATTATTTTAAAGCATTTCACCCCTCTTATTTTCTAAAGCAAATGACCTTCATTGCCTTTGGGAACACATCAACTTCTCTGGAAAGACCTTAACTTCCACAAAAAGTGATGCTTTTCACTGAATTTTATTCAAGTATTTCACATTATTTTCCCTTTGATACTTTGTCTCGTGTAAGGTTGTAGTGCACCCTTGAAACTGTGGGGAATGTGGCAACATCAGACTCTAACTCCAAGCATGACTTTCACCTGTCCCGTTGGCTCATAACCCTCCCCTTGTTTCAGTTCATTCTCTCCTAGATTCTGTCCTAAAACATTTACATCTGGACCTCTCACATCTCCTGCCTTCCCTTCATTTCTTTGTTCAGTATGTATGCAGAGGCAGTTAAATGCCAAGCACTTTGAGGCACTCTGCAGGTACAGTGAGCATAAAGCAAGTGTTGTAGTCCCTGCCCTTTACATAGTTCACAAGCATTGGTTATATAATCTCAAAGAAATATAGGTAAAAGTGCACCTTCAGTGTGTGATAGAAAAGAAAAAGTGCATGAACTAGAGGATCTAGCCTAGTTGGAAACCTAGGAGAGGCTGCCCTATGAGGAATGACAGATCTGAAAGACAGATGGAAAGAACTGGTGACAAAACAGGGTGAAAGTATCCTAGGAGGATGGAATAGCATGTGCAGTGGCCCACAGCAGCAGGAAGGAGGGAAAAAAGAAAGAACTGAACAGCTGCCAAGCAGTGGAGACGGTTCAGGACATGTTGAATTCTGAAGGTGTTTGGGTCCTCTGTTCAGAATTTTTGAATCGTCAAGGAAAAAGGGATAGGGGTAAGAATTGGCATAACATTAGCATTTTGAAAAGATACCTCTGGCTACAGGATTGGAAGAGTACCGTAAATAAGAGATTAGGTTGGATTGTTGACCGTGATAGAAATGTTGGTAGAGGAGGAGATTAGAAAGATATGATTAACACTGGCAACTTGCAGAGGGTTTAGAGAGAAGAGTACGGATAAAGTTTGAGTCCCAGATTTCTGGCTTTCCCTTGGTGGTGCTAATCCTCCTGTCATTTATTCACACTTAATTATAAACTTAGTTTTGACATAATTTCATTCTTACAGAAACCTTATAATAGTATAAAGAATTCCCACATACTATCTAGTTAGAGCCACTCTGCCAAAAGGTTAACATTTTATCACATTTGCTTTCTATTTCTCTGAATTCAAATTAGGTTACTGACATGCCCCAGTACCCCAAACATGTCAGCATGCCCACTCTTAAAAACAAGAGCATGCTCTTATAATACATCGTCTATCGACCACATTCAAATCCTACCAGTTTATGTTTCTGATAGAAAACTCTTGCTCATTCATTGTCAAGTCTCTTCAAAGTTCCTGAACCTGAAATAGTTGCAGTGCCGCCTTTTCTTATCTTTCATGACCTTGACTGTTTGGGTGAGTATACCCAACCAAAAACAGCTCACTGCCATTAAGCAAGTTGATGCTGACTCATAGTGACGCGATGGGACAGCGTAGAATTGCCTCTGAGTTGCCTAAACTAATTCTTTACAGGAGTGGAAGGCCCCGTCTTTTTCCCTTGGTGAGTATAGTTGTTGGTAAATAGCGCTGTAAATTGGTTTTGTCAAGTGTTTCCACATGAGACTAATCAGCTCTTTAATACACTACAATTTGGCTTTTTCATATTTCTTGCAAGCAATGCTGTCGTAATCTAATGGACAGTGCAAGATAAATCTAAACTTTTTCAGGGCACATAATCTGCTAGCTTCATCATCTGTCACTTCCACACAACTGGAAAAAGAAGGTATTAGTATGTCCTTGAATACATTGCCCTGTTTTGTGTATTTGTTTCCTTTGTTTAAAACCTTGTTTTACTCAACCTGGGCCAGAAGCCATAGTATCACCTGGAAGGATCTTAGTCTCTGGCCCCCACATCAGACTACTGATTTGGAACAACTCACCTTTCCTACCTGAAGTATTTGAAGCTACACATCACCATCATTTAGGAATTGTTGGCCTTTTCCCATCACCATTATATCTTTACCTTGTGTAGATTTATACAGCCCCTTTTCCTTTCAGAATATTTTAATCACTTATCTTTGTCCATTACAATGCAAAATAATGCATGTGAAATTCCCCCAATTACATCTTAATTTGGTTTCCTGCGATTCACCTTTGGTTCTTCTAGTCTGCCCGGCACATAGTCCAACTTTTGTTCACTAAATGTCCAACTTTTGTTTTACTTATTTCTGTAAAAATCACAACTTTAACGAAAATTAATGACTACCAAAGCCACTGCTATCAAGTTGATTCCAACTCATAGCAAACACTATACAAGGTTTTCAAGATTATTTATGGGAGCAGATAGCCTCATCTATCTCCTGAGGAACCACGGATGGGTTTTGAACCACTGATCCTGGAGTTAGCAGCCCAATCCCTAACATTTAACCAAAGGCAAATACTTCATGCAGGATGAGGCCTGTTGTTAGCTGCCATTAACTTCATATACCGTGGGATGAACTCTTGTGGACCATAAGCACTGGCTGATTATCCGTTCTTTCTTCCTCGTCTTAGTTTGAAAGCTCAGCTGAACCCTGTTCAACATCACTGTCACACACACACCAACTTCCACTTGCAGATGGGTGCTGACTACACTCAAAGGTATATTAGCCAAAAATCAAACTTGGATCTCTTTCATCAGCGGTTCTCAACCTGTGGGTCACGACCCCTTTGAGGGTCACCCCTTAACAGTAGCAGTGCATAATGTCATACAGTTATGAAGTAGCAATGAAAATAACTTTATGGTTGGGGGTTACCACAAAATGAACTGTATTAAAGAGTTGCGGCATTAAGAAGGTTGAGAACCACTGTCACTGGTGAGAATTCTACCACTGAACTAATGATTTCAGTCTTCAAATTGTGTATTTGGACTGGAAGTAGAAAATGGAGCACAAACGTAAAAACGAATACCTTCATTAATATTGAAGTGAGTACATTTCTTTGTACATTAACATACCTTAACATTATTGCTACATTGTTCTTTGTTTTACATGTTTACATTGCCTAGAAAAATAATTACCCAGTCTCACCTAACACAACAAATAATTCATTTTACACACTCCCTTTTCAGTTACATAAAAAAGAAAAACTACACTTTTTACTGCAACTCATAAGGACCCTACATCCAATTTTGGGAGTCTTTGTAAATCTTTCTTTCATCGGAACAGCTAGTGAATTTGAACCATTGACCTTACAGTGAGCAGCCCAACAGTTATCTCGACAGTGTCACCAGGGCTTTCTTTACAGTGACACACACACTATACAAAAATACATTTCAAATAGGACACTAATTGTAGTAAGAATGGACATTACAACTTAGTTTTATCTCATCTCACTCTTCATTGTTATTTTTTTAAATGGTTAACATGCTTCAGATTAGAGATAATACCATTTAGCTATTCCTTAAGTTTTTGGACATGATAGAATTATTATCAGCATGATAATTATGGATATTCTTAATACATATCTATGCTTTCCCTTTGAAAAATTAAGCCAAATACAACCCATGCTCCTTTCTGTATTCTTTACTTCCCTTTGCATAGGCCACCGTTCCTTGTCCTTGATGCTCTGTTTGTTGTTCTTTCAAGTTTTTACTATAGAAAATTTCCAACGAAAATAGAATAAGGAGCACCATGTACCTGTCCTTTAGCTTCAATGATGACCAACTCATTACTGATCAGCTTCATCTCTCCATGGATGTGTTTTGCTGGAGTATTTAAAACCATATCCCAGATAGCATATCTTTTCATGTCTAAATATCAGTAATTACATATGGTAAAATGAACAAGTATGATTTATGATCTAATTAATATCTGTGATAATCCAAAGTGCATGTGTGTGCGTGCGTATGCAGGTATGACTGGTTGGTTCAAATCAGGATCCCAAGGTCTACATGTTGCATTTGGTTGATAAAAAAACGTTTATATGTTACAATTATATTATACATAAAAAAGAATTTTCATCCAATTTTTGATAAGTTAGGTACATATTGTCCCCCTACATGGGAGAAAAGGTTGCATAGCCCACTTACGTGGATAATTTAACCATATCTCTATTAAATTCTTTTAAGTTAATTCTAATTTTCTAGTCACAAACACTATGAAAATGCATGTATTTGAGAATAAAGGCCAACCATTTGAATTAACTGTAATGTGCTGTATGAAGTAGGGCCTCAAAGAGTCATTATTTAATGCCACTTGCAGAGAAAGTAAAAGTTTAGTTTGCTGTTTAGCAAATGAACTGTGGGCCCAATTGCCTGTGTTTGAATCCTGGCACTGAACTACACAACAGGAAGATGCATACTTGGTTCTGCTTGTAGATTTTTTTACTTCCTTTCAGTGATCTAGTTTCCATCAGTACCACCTGATTTTTTTTTAAGTGGTGATTTTAGAAAATATAGGTATTTCTAAATACCTTTTTTTTCTAATCATTTTGTTAGGGGCTCATACAACTCATCACAATCCATACGTCTATCAATTGTGTAAAGCGCATTTGTACATCATTGCCCCCACCTGATTTTTATAATTATAGCTTTGTAATACATTTCGGTATCTGGCAGGGCAACCTTCTCCTTGTTGGGTTTATTTAATGGCTACTCTAAAATGACAGCACCTGATTAGAATTAAAAAGTAGGGAAATGTAACATCTTACATAAACAGTAGTGCATTCTAATTCAGGATTAGGGTCTTTCTCAGATAGGCAGGTCTTCAATGTTCCTGCCTGTAGGGTTGTGTGAGTCACAACTGACTCCGTGGCAGGGAGTTGAGGGCTTATGTTTCTCAATAAATGTTTGAAGTCTTCATTTATTTTAAGTTTAATCCTAGCAATTTTATATTTTCATTGTCAATGTGCCTACGAAATTTGTTTATTGTTGGCATTTATAAAAACTATAGATTTGTAGTTTACTATTCTTCAGAACTCCATATCTAACAGGCAATTTACTCTTGAATTATTGTGGCAGAGAATCATTTCACCTTACTTTGTATAACTTTTTGATGTTGATAAAATTTTCGCTTTGAAAAACATACTAACTTGTCTTTCTTATCCTGATTACTTCCAAGTACCCCCATTCAGATTATTTATAGTGATTCTAATTTCTTCAAGTTTGCCATTTTAACATCTTATATAAAATTCTTAGAACCAACAATAATTTTTTTGATGGATCATGTTAAGTCAGTGTGTAAACAAACTTTCCCCAAAAGACCAATCAAATCAATCTATATATTTCCATTAGTTTGCAATTTTTCCCTCATCATATAATAAAGTGTTAGCTATGTAGTTTGTTCCATGGATCTATTATCTTAAATGCAAAGTAGATTCTGTAATCAAACAGTTGTCATATTTCCATATGAAATTAGGCTTGATTCTCAATACTTTTTTTTTAGCAATCACTTTCATATTTCTTCTAATGCCAATGGGGTTTTTAATTATTTTATCAACTTGTAATAGAAATTGAAGTTTTCCTCTATAAATCATAAATGAACAGGGAGAATTAATATCATTATTAACTTTACTGTGCAAGCATGCAGTTTCTCCTTGTTTATTTAAATTTTTTAAGTCTAAACCAAACTCACTGCCAATGAGTTCATTTTTGACTCATAGCAACCCTCTAAGATAAAGTAGAACTAACTGCCAGTTTGGGTTTCCAAAAGTATAAACCTTATGGGAGCAGAAAACTTGATTTTTCTCCTGCAGCTGGTGAGTTCGAACTGCTGACCTTCTGGTTTGCAGCCCAATGTGTAATTCACTACACTACTTAATAGTTTTCATTTAGTATAACACATTTTTTCTGAGTATTTCTTGTGTTTATGTGTATGTACATATTTGATTTGTCAAGAGTGAACATTAAAAATTAAGGATTTCCATTTTGTTACATTTTATTACCTTGGAAGACAGAAATAATGAATATGAAAGAAGTAAACAGTGCAAGATTTGTAAATGTGACATACCAGATGATGGCGATATGACACACTCTCCTACACATTTATTTTCAGCAAGATCTCCTTTTATTTCATTCTTTTTTAACAATGTTCCAAGGTGAAAATGAAGAGGCACATCTAGAAAGATGAAGGAAAAAAGTATTTTCAGTGAAACCCACTCTTATAGGCTATAATAAGAGTGCTTTAAAAATAAGCAGTTTTAAAAGTAAGCAACTATCAGATATAGTAAGATACTCTTTTAAAACATGTCAGTAGCAGTATTTTGGGAAATGCCAATTACATGTATTGAATAAGCAATCATGATAGATGAGCAGTGCCATAATATATTAGAGTAAATCATAATCATAAATATAAATAAATACTATTGATAGATGAATAGAAATTAAAATGCCAAATGTATATATAATAAAATGTATAGTAAATGCTGGCAGACACTCAAGTCCATTCTGCATCTTCTCCCATTTGAAATCATGGTTTTAATTATTTGAAGGGAAACAATATAATTTATATACAACCTTTTGTGAAAACAAGTATCACATTCCCTTAGTGTATTAGTATTAATTTACAAAGGAAATCTACTTTGAGAAAGATTGAACACCTAATGACAAACTAGTTTTGTTTTGTTTTTTAACAAAGACTTAAAAACTTAAGTCTAAACGTAAGGTCTAAAATTGCTATGTTGCCCTGACATCTCCAGCCAGAAGGCCCGTCACTAACTTACCCAAAGGTTTCTTTACCCTCTGTGGATAAGGTCCCTAGTTAAACCACCTTCCTTCTGGGGATCAAGGATCGTACCTATTTATGCCTGAGTAACAGTTCTCTGCCAGCCTGCAGAATTATTCAAATGAGTCACTTATCCTCCTTTAAGAACCAGGGGTGATGCCACCCTATTGTTACTACAGCACCTTCCTCTAGATAGTCCATCCTTGTTTATTCTGCTGCAAGGATATCCTTCATGTGGTTCTGCCTGACATGTGGTATTACTACTCTCCTGGGCTGTAAGTACTTGTGACTAATACTGGTCATCTCACCTCTCCTGTGCTGGGTGATCTCTAGAACTCTTAAGGCAAGAATCCCCTTTCACCAGTGGAATGAGAAAGAGGCAAATAAAACACATTCCATTTACTGTGTTTATGTTCAACAATGTCAATCATAATGGAGTAAAAAAATGTGCTTCATATTTTTAAAGATTAATGTACTTTACTGGCATTTCCACACCTATGTGTGGAAAAATCTGTGCAATATTACAGAGTTTGTCCCAACAGAAATGTGGGGTGTATTTCAATCCCAAGCACTATACTACTATCATTTGAAATGATACACTTAAATGAAAGCAAGACTTAGGATAACAGACATTAATACTAGGTCTCAAGAATTTAATAATAAACTAATGTCCAAGTCTAACTCATGCCATTGAGTTGATTCCAACTCACAACAACCCTTCAGGACAGAGTCGAAATGCCCTTGGGTATCAGGTAGTAAATTTTTACATGAGCAGAAAGCCTCATCTTTCCCGTGGGTGGCTGGTGGTGCCCATCTCAAAGCAAGGATGTCACCAGAGCTCCTAGATAGAACTGTCTTAATGGGTAATGTACATGTTTCTAGACCAGCAGAGTTCTCCACCTGTGGGTCGTGACCCCTTGGGGGTCAAAATGACCCTTTCATAGGGGTCGCCCAAGACCATCAGAAAACACAGGTATTTCACAATATATAATTACATATTGTCTTGTGATTTAATCGCTATGCTTTAATTATGTTCAATTTGTAACAATGAAAATATATCCTGCATATCAGATATTTATTAGCCGTGTAATCTTGGACAAATAACCTTTTCTAAAAGATCTTATTTTCTTATATGTAAAATGAAGATGGTAATAGTATCTCATGAGATTATATGAGAAACATATATGTGTTCCCCATATATACAGCGAGTCAGTTCTGACTCATAGCAGCGATATTATAGGACAGACTAGCACTACCCTTGTGGGTTTCTGAGACTGTTTATGGGAGTAGAGAGCCACATCTTTCTAACTTGGAGCCACTAGTGGTTTTGAACTGCTGATCTTACAGTTCACAGGAAAACGTCACCCACTAAGCCAATGATTATTGCTACTGATTATGAATTCTCATTAAACTTTCTTCAGACTATGAGAGTACCATATCTACTTGAGTATAAGCCAACCCAAATATCAGCCAAGGAACCTAATTTTACCACAAAAACCACTAAAAGTGTGCTGAAAAACTCGGCTTATCCACTAGTATATACGGTAGCTAAAAAGCCACATGAATACAAGTAAAAAGTAACAAAGATTTAAGTCAAGGATAAGTAAAAAAAAATGTAAAAGATGGCAAGAGCTGGAAATTTAAAGCCACCTTAGGATTGTGGGTATATATGACTCTACTCCGGTGGCACTGTTACATAAGCGTTGGACTGCTAACCACAAGGTTGGTGGCTCAAACACTGTCCATCCAATGGGACAGAAATAAGGCTGGATGCTCCTGTAAAGGTTTACAGCTTCAGAAATCCTTTGTTGAGCCCTAATCCACTTGGTAGCTGTGTTTGGTATTGACTCAATTGTAGATTACAGGTATTTTTGAGCTTCAACAGTTGACTAGACCTAAACAGACAATTTTCCTTCTTAGAGAAACTGAGTGTAAATGTCAAGTAAAAATATGAAAGGACCTCTAGAGTATCACCTCCATGTAAAACAAAACACTAGGTGAAAAACTGAGTAATTACACCAGAAACAGTACAGCCATGTGACCAATAAAATGCTAAAAATTTAAGTCACAAGATCAAAAGTCAAATTTTTTCCAAGGCAAATCACCTTGGTTTCCAAGGAATTAAAAAAATCAATGAGCACAAATGGAACATTAATATATGTCTAGATTAGTTCCTCTGGGAAGAACTGGTTCTATCAATTTTATTAGCGTCTTTGTGTAGGAGTAAATTTCTACAGAAAATATTCAGTTACTTAGAAATTTCATATGCAGAGAGTTACCTGAAGGCAACGATAGAACAGAGTGGAAAGAAGAGTCTAATTCTGGTGCATGTTCTTTTAATGGCTGTGACTTTGAGTTGTGTTCACAGCCACTCCACGTTGAAGCTGCTGTTTCTTTTGAAGGCAAACTCTGCAAGGATAAAATAAAGAATTTTAAAGATCATTTTGTTTGAAAACAAAATCAGAGAGTGTGACACTTAAAATATGGTGACACCAGAAAAATGTCCTGGCTGCTTCATCTTGCAGGAAGAGCTTCAAAATATGTAGACTAAGTGAGAAGTGATGCTACAGATGAACCAGGCATGCATATCTAGTGGGGTATGCTTTTTAAAAGAAATGAGCGATGTCTGCAAAAATGAATCTCCCCCACACCCAATAAATCACAGTAGTGAAGTAATGAATTTGAATAATTTTGGATCAAAAGAAAATGGTTATACATTAATGAGAACTGTGAATGAGAATGGTGAACAGACACGAGCTGTGTATTCCAGCTTGCAATTCATTACAACAAAGGAATGAAACTGGAGTCTTTCTTAAATTCTAATTTTAGATAATCCCTACATGGCGTCCTACTGAAGTACGAGTATTTTACAGTTTACATTGAGAACAATTGAATTAAACATGCTCTTAAAAGTTATGAAATATACAATATATTAACTGAGTTAAAGATAAAGCTGTGATTGAATCCAGGAATGTCAACAAAACCATGTTACTAAAGTAAAAATGAGTTTATGTCACTACATTAAAGAAATACATGTATGTCTACTTAAGTAACAGACTTTCAAATATTTGCCTGAGTGTGCAGTCATTAAAAAAATACCCAAACTACAGAGAAGATACATTTTATGAACAGTTCACTTGGGGTCTTTTTCTACTTTTCCCTCTGCCTTGCCTTTCCTTCAATCATTAGGAGTGATTTGTTCATTTAGCATATGTGTTCATTCAACTTCCATTTCACTTTTAACATTGCCACATCTTGGGCCTATCACTACCACAGCATTCAATGAGACCGTTTTAGTCATGAGGTCCTTTACAGTTAGAAGTACAATTTGTTCTACCCTGTATTCCTGGGGTCTAACCTCCGAGGGTGAGTGAAAAATATTGTACTGGGTTTCATTTCATACATGCATAGGTTTATTCCAAATACAATGTTTAAACATGTCTCTGGGTGTTTATGTATGGTCGCAGGGTCCTCACCATTATACACTTGGCTTACTCTCATGAGAGTACTGCTGCTAGGTGAGTTAAATTCACTTCAAAAGGTTATTTTGCCTTTTGGGAGATTCCTAAGGGATCATCTGAATATATTACCTCAAGGGGCACAGGTCAATCATATGGGGCTTATTAATTTTTTGAAAACTGCATTGGTGAGAAAAAGGCCAAGAAAGTTCTACCCAGGACTTTTCCCATTACAATGCACCTACTCATTCATGGGTGGCAAGGGCTGTCTTACAAGAAACTCATTGAGAAACCTGACCCCAATTCACCATACAGTCCTTTAGAATCATCTCTGGTCCAAAAATCCAAAGAGCATTTAAAAAGAATGTAATTTGAGTCTCTCGAGCATGCCAACACTGCCATTTTGACATGGTATAAATCAAAGCGTACAGAATTCTTCAGGGAAGGGGTAGAGAGATGGAAGCTTTGCTTTCTAGAATGTATGTCAAGAAATATAGTTTCACATATGGGTGCTTTTATTTAATGGAATATATGGTTTTTTTCAGCAATACTTTTTGACTTACTCATACAGTTAAAACTTGAATGTGTCCAATTGAATTTTATGTTTTTGCTTTCAAAAATTAAAAACAGATGAATAAACAAATGAAAGTATGTATACCTAAAACTGTTTATTTCTTTGGGGCGAGGGGGTGTGCAGGAATGGGGGGATGAGGAGGGGAAGTCAAACCCTGCCTATATATGCTAAAATTTACCAGCCAGGACACAGGCATATATAGGCATTCCCTAGCTGCAGGGAAGGATGGCAAATGCAGTTGCGATACTAGAGGTTAAATTAATAGGTTTTTACAAATAGATACAGCATGTTGATACATGATTACAATGAATCATTTTATTCATACAATGAATGAGATTTATTCTAATAATACAATATTATATTGTATAAATATTTGCCCAAACTGATGCTATTTATTACTTTTAAAAAATGCACTGGTACTTTTAACTTGCCAGAATTATTTTTTGATGTAATTTAGAATTGTGCACGTCTAAACTTAGAAATAACATTGACTTTAAATTGCAACAAAACACGCTAAACCTCCCTTTTCTCAATAGAATTACGAATTATTCCATAGAATTATTCATAGCATTATGAATACAATTATTTTTCTTTTTCAATTTTCTAAATACAGGAAACATTAGCCAACTTAATCCAAATTAAGGAGACAAGTGAAAGGCTTAGGACAAGATATTTCTACTTTTCTCCTACACAGTGAGTGAAGGCCAAGAGGATGAAAAAAAATACGGAAATTAAAGAATAACCAAGACTTGGAAAAAAAATCATTTGTTGTGAAAATATTCACTGCAAAACATGTAGCAATTCAACAATTTCCCCATGTAAAGTTCAGTTAGATTTATTACATTCTTCAGGTTATGCAACAATTCTCACACCACCTTTTTCTGAGTTCTCCTATAACATCAGCTCACTGCCCAGCAGTGTTGTCAATTTGATCCCTTCAAAAGAGTAAATGCTCTTTACAATTAAACTAAACTAGTTTTTGAGGTTTAGAATTTGATATTGTTTGGAACTTTCTCCTTTTTGATTAGGCTTCTTCTATCGATTACTTGATCCAAACGTTTGGTGATCACAGCCTGCATCATCCAACTCTTCTTGTCTCAGGACAGAGGAGGCAGTTAGCCTCAGAGTCCGTTTCTCTGTACTCTTGACTCTTCTCCTTGGCACTACAGGAAGTGACCAATTGGATAGCTTTGGATGGCTGCTTGCCAACTTTTAAGACTGCCATCAAACTAGGAGGTAGAACAGAAGCACTACATTTTTAAGCCAATTAACCGGGATGTCCCATGAAGCCATGACCCTGATCTCCAAACCAAAAGACACAAACCCCAGAAAGTAGTGTCTGGTTGTACACAAACAGCTTCAACCTAACTCTGTAATCTTACCCTTAATCCTTCCCTTAATTTTTCCACTGCCATAAATGGAAACCCATACTGTTATCATTGGGGTTTATGTTTAATGAATGATATATATACAAAAGAATATATATATTTAAACACATTATAATTAAGGAATGATATCAATACCTATGGATACCTTCTCCCTTTACCTCATGCCCACATAAGCCTGTGGCAGATTTCTTCCTCCTTTCAAACACATCTGTGTTCTCCCCATTTTAGAACCTCTGATTTTAGGCAAGGCTAAAATTCTCAGACTTCCTGCAGCAAAGTTCCTAAATTCTAGCCAGAACACCTTGAGGGGAATTCACATGCACAATCTTTGGTAAATGACCTTAAAGCTACTTATTTTTCCATCTTTTTTTTTTTTTAAGTTTTCCATCTTTTCTCCTTATTTGATACATGGTTTTGATGGTAATAATCTTCCACTGTATATGAGGGTAAACAGGAGGAGCTTGGGTCTAGATAACCAGGAGAACATAGTTGTCAGGCCAAGCCTAGAATACATTGTCTTCTACAAGTATCAGGTCTCTATTAAATGCACTTAAACCTTTAATTATTGTAATACTCTTCCTTAACATTGTTTTTTTTTGTTTTTTTAAAACATTTTATTAGGGGCTCATACAACTGTTATCGAATCCATACACACATCAATTGTGTAAAGCGCATTTGTACATCATTCTCAAAACATTTTCTCTCCACTTAAACCCCCGACATTAGGTCATTTTTCCCCTCCCTCCCCGCTCCCCCCTCACTCATGAGCCCTTGATAGTTTATAAATTGTTATTTTGTCATATCTTGCCCTGTCCGACGTCTCCCTTCACCCACTTTTCTGTTGTCCGTCCCCCAGAGAGGAGGTCACACACAGTTCCTTGTCATCGGTTTTATCATGCTTTCAAGAATAGCTGCTCCTTGAATTTTATCATTGTATATATACAAGTATGTGTACTCCTATGTAATTTACTGTGTACATCTACATAATTTTTTAAATTTATAGAGAGATCGGCAAAATGTCTTTTCCTGCTTTTATCAACATCATTTGCATAAAATTCACCATTCTTTTGTCTAAAATATCTGGACTGCTTCTATTTTTTTACCATTAATAATGCTAGTATATTTACATTTCTCTTGATACAGGGTGTAATTTTCTAGAGTATATTGCTAAAAGTAGAGTTTCAGTGTTATACAAGTGCATGAATGGATATATGCAATTGGACTAGGGAAGGCTACTATATTATAAAGTGGTTTTAACTAATTTATATGCCCACAAGCAGATTTGCTTCTCATTCTTCACATCGTGCTTTCAACCGTGTGCCCCAAAAGATATGTACTAAATATGATATATTTTTATTTATGAAATAAATTGATAATTTCTTCTGTCTTTATCAAGTTTTGGTATTAGGTTTGCTATCCTTATGAGTTAGCATGTATTCCATCTTTTCTGTTAAGTTTATATAAGATTGGTTCATATATAATTAAATTATAAATAGTTTATATAATCTTTATATAAGATTATCCCAAGATTCTCAAATATTGGGAAAATTTACTAAGGTAGAAAACTTTTTGTGGGAAATTTTTAGTTGCTTTATTCTTTAATAGATGCTTCTTTTATCAGTTTTAAGAAGTTGCTTAAGAAATGTCTTGTCATGTTTTTATCATGACATTTGTAAAACAACCTGTAGTGATATCCCCTTTTCATTTATGACGTAGGCAATTTGCATTTTCCATTTTTCTTGAATCATCTTGCTAGTGATTTATAGACATTTACAGTTTATCAATCACACCTTTCAAAGTCTCAACTGGATGTGATGTTAATTTTGTTTCATTGATTTCTTTTTGTTTTAATCGTTTTATTAGGGGCTCATACAACTCTTATCACAATCCATACATACATCAATTGTGTAAAGCACATTTGTACATTCATTGCCCTCATCATTCTCAAAACATATCCTCTCCACTTAAGCCCCCGGCATTAGGTCCTCATTTTTCCCCTTCCTTCCTCCCCCTGCCTTCATGGGCCCTTGATAATTTATAAATTATTATTTTGTCATATCTTGCCCTGTCCGACGTCTCTCTTCACCCACTTTTCTGTTGTCCGTCCCCCAGAGAGGTCCCATATATTTCTTTCAATAATAAACTATTTCCTCTTTCAACTTGGACGTTCTCATACTTTTTAGTGGCTTCCTTATAGCTTACTGACTTTTACCGCTTAGTTTTATTTCGTTTACCACTTTGCTGAAAACACTGGGACTTTAGAACATTGTAATTGCATTTAACCAACTCTTTCTGTGTTATTATTGGGCATTTCAAGTCTACATATTTTTTAAGCTCCATGATACATTATTGTCTTTATAACCAAACTCATTCATATGGACCCAATTGTTTATTCTTTCCACAGTCTTCAGGTCCTTCCTACAATTTCCTGTTTCCATCTGGGATCCTGCTTCTTCTTTGCTATTAAAAATGATGGCCTAGCCAAGTTGACACATATCCTAAACCATTACACACATTACACTTGCCATGTATCATAGCATTCCTTACTGCCAAATATACTTCTGTAATGCACAAAATAGGTTACTTTTTCACAATTGTGAAATGAAACGCTCACTAATGAGACAGCTGGTTAAGTGAGGAGTATGTACATGTATTTATTCTTTGTAATTTTCACAGATCACTTCTTGGATCTGTGGGTTGATGTCCTTCATTAGTTTGGAAAATATTTTCTATATGCTCTCCTTTCTCCTAGATGCTAATAACATATATGGCTAGATTTTTTTTTCCAACTGAGTTACATATATCCTTAATTCTGTTTTCTATGTTTTTTCCATTGTTCTATTTCTGTGCTCCCATTTGAGTATTTTTTCCTTAGTCCTTTGGTTCACTAATCTTGTCTTCTGCTCTAATTTGTAGTTAAGTTCAGTTAATGAAGGCATTAATTTTATACATAGTATTTCAGTTTGAACATGTTAAAGACCCTCCTTTAAAAATTAATTGCAACCATCTGGTAAAATTTTCCTTTTTATTTCTGTACTCTATAATTTGAACATACTGAATATGGTAATTTTAAAATTATGGCTGGCTAAATTCCCAATTATCAGAATCATTTAAGAATCCATATGTAAATATCTATTTTACTTTTTGAATTTTGTTCATGTGGCTCTAGAAAACAAAGATATGAGTACTAGTTGTTTATGTTACCAAAGTTAACTTTGAGTCTAGACCTGTGTTATTCATTGTTGTAGCAATGACCTACATTTGTCTATTTAAATTAATGCTAACAAAACTAGAATAAATGAAAAATTCAGGTCCTTTATTGCACTACCCATCTTTCATCTACTCAGCCACTGAACGTGGTTACAAACAATCCATGGTGACATTACGTGTGCTTAGTAGTTACTACAACACAGCTACAGAACATTTCTGTCATTATAAAAAGTTGAATAATATATTTAGTAGCTAAAGCTAAGAAATACACATACACATTCATGAAATTATGAGTTCCTAGTCTACATTACAAAATATATCCTTTAAATTTATTCTTTCAAATATTAAGCAATTATCCATTGAATAAATTATTGCTATTCAAGTTCCTGGCAATTCAGAAATAAAAAGACAATACTTATTCTCTAAATATTTGTAACTTAATGAGACAAAAAAAAAAAAAGGATTATTATAGAGTGGTATGATATATTCCAACAAACTGAGGTTACCACAGGGTGTTATAGCAATATACAATTTAATTTGGGTACGTCAAGGAAGGCTCCCTGAGAAATAAAAATTGTAGGAAAAAATTAAGAATAAAAAATTGATTAGAATTAGTGATTGGCTTGGCAATTCAGGAGATTAGGTGTACAAAGAAGGGGAATTTTCTATTCTCAGTATTTTTTTTTTAATCTATTACAATTACTTAAATGCTTTCTTGAAAGCATTCTTGAATGCTTACATGAAAGATTTTATTTTTGTTCTCAATGTAGTGGAAAGAAAATCATGTGGGCTCTGAAATCAGACATTTCTTACTCACTGGATGGTAAATTACTTAATCCCGATAAGTCTCAATTTCCACATATGAAAATGGAATTAAACTTCCTAGTTATATGTGTGAAAATTACATAATACACTAAAAATGCATAGCACATTGACTAGAATACGGTAGGTAATAATGACAACTACTTGAGAATTAATGAAGCCAATTAACCCAACCAACATTGGCAATGATTTCCAACTCAAAGTGACCCCAGTGGTCAGAGTAGAAATATGTTCTATCAGAATTGTCAATGGCTGAATTTTCAGAAGTAGCTCACCAATCTTTTTTTCTATGGTGCCTCTCTGGGTGGGCTTGAAGGTCTAATCTTTAGGCTAGCAACCCAGTACATTACTTATTTGCACCACCTAGAGACTCCACTAGTCTTAACAGTAATACTTCTATTTGTTTCTTCATTTATCTGTCGATTAAAAATTGTTCACACCTTTCTGTCCAGGTCATCTTTACATTATCAAGACACATACTATATTTTAATAACAACTAGTGAACCACCTATATTATTCAAGCAGATTTCTTCAGTAAGAATATTATGGCATATATATTCATTTATATGTTTTAGATAATACTTATGATTATGAAATCACAAAATATTTTAAAATATTTATCTACTACTTGCAGCAACTTTAAATAAAAATAATATTTCCCATTAGGTTGATATTAAATTTTTTTTCCTTTTTAAAAATCCTTTTATTGGGGACTTATACAACTCTTATCACAGTCCATACATACCTCAATTGTGTAAAGCACATTTGTTACCCTCATCATTCTCAAAACATTTGCTCTCCACATAAGCCCCTGGCATCAGCTCATTTTTCTCCCTCCCTCTCCTCTCCGCTTCCCCTTAATGAACCCTTGATAATTTATAAATTATTATTTTGTCTTATCTTACACTGTCCGTCCCCCTTCACCCACGTTCCCCCTTCACCTCCTCACCCACGGAGGAGGTTATATGTAGATCCTTGTAATCACTTCCCCCTTTCGACTCCACCCCCCCAGTATCGCCACTCTCACCACTGGTTCTGAAGGGATCATCCGCCTTGGGTTTCCTGTGTTTCCAGTTCCTGTCTGTACCAGTGCACATCCTCTGGTCTAGCCAGATTTGTAAGGTAGAAATGGGATCATGATAGTGGGAGGGGAGGAAGCATTTAGGAACTAGAGGAAAGTTGTACGTTTCATCGTTGCTACATCACACCGACTGGCTTGTCTCCTCCTCGCGACCCTTCTGTAAAGGATGTTGAGTTGCCTACAGATGGGCTTTGAGTCACCATTCCCCACTCCCCTTCATTCACAATGATATGGTATTTTGTTCTTTGATGCCTGATACCGCATCCCTTTAACACCTTGTGTTCACACAGACTGGTGTGCTTCTTCCATGTGGGCTTTGTTGTTTCTGAGCTAGATGGCCGCTTGTTTACCTTCTCGCTTTTAAGACCCCAGGCACTTTATCTTTTGATAGCCAGGCACCATCAGCTTTCTTCACCACATTTGCTTATGCACCCATTTGTCTTCAGCAATCATATCGGGGAGGTGAGCACACAATGATATGATTTTTGTTCTTTGATGCCTGATAACTGATCCCTCTGACACCTCATGATCACACAGGCTGGTGTGCTTCTTCAATGTGGGTTTTGTTGCTTCTGAGCTAGATGGCTGCTTCTTTACCTTCAAGTCTTTAAGACCCTATATCCTTTGATAGCCGGGCTCCATCAGCTTTCTTTAACTCTAAAATAAAACTTTGTTTTTTACAGTGTATGTCTACCAATAAATATAAACTTGTCAGAATTCACATTTCAATAAAATTAAGTACTGAAAACCTTACATTTGTTCCAAATGGGGCAAAGGAACTTGATTTTCATATAAATTTAAAAGAGTTAGTGTACTAATAATTAGAAACCATCAGTATTAAATAATAGCACCAAGGACAGTTCCTTAGATATGCTATTAAGAAATCTAAATGAAAAAAGTCACACAGCAAGAACTACACAATTTTGCGCTTCATCACAGCTTTAGATATGATTTAGAAGAAGTACACCCAACATGTTTAAAAATGAAAAACGCTTCCTAGTAAATGCTTTGAGTAAAGTGCCTTTTCTCTGTACACAGCATGAACATCTAAAGTGTACTACTGATGTTCTAAGAAGTGAAAAAGAAGCACTTAACCAGGATTAACAATATTTAGAGACCCAGCCGATTCTAAAATAACTGACAGCTGTGCAGATTTTGTTGCTGTCTCAACAAATATGTGATGGGTGGTTGGGTTCCTTACCCTTGCCAGTATATTTTAATATTCTCATTAATATCCAATTTGCCTTTAATATGTATAATAATGGATTTTTGGAAAAAAATAACTGGGAATGTGAGAGATTTTATAGTACCACTGCCATTTGAATGATAAAATCCCAATAAAATGTTGTCAATGGCTATTACATAATTTATAAACTATGTTTAATTATTAAAAGTAATAAACAATAACACTCCACATTACATATTGGCTGTAAAGTCTTGATATTTTCCCAAAAGTATACTTACTTGAGTCCAATAAAATGTCGGGCTCAATCGGTAGAGTTTTCGTTTGTGGAAGCTCTGAAGTGGCCTTGTTCTGGCTGCTGTGCTCATGGCAGTCAAGGGTGGAGATTTCAATCTTGTTCGGTCTTTTCTTTTCTTCTTACTGTGCTTCTGGTGAACGAGCCAGGTACTGGAGGGAGAGAGCTCATCTAAATTCTCTGAAGTACTAAAATGCCATGAAGTAAGTGGAAAGAGAGTAATGAAAACAAAGAAAACTAAATGTAGTACAAGTTTTAGCTAGCTTTGTGGTAACAAGGGTTAAAAAGTTGACTTTAATCAGGAATTACATATTCAAGTTATAAAAATAATTTCTACTTAATTTTCCTGCAAAACAAACAAAAACTATCTACTGAGGTTGGAAATGCTTGCATATGTTCAGTAGTATAATGAAAGTGTTTTTTGTAATAGATTCACATATACCGTATTTTAAGTGTTCTCATAAAATTATTTTTGCAAACATTTTAAGTTACACAGACTATTGATTTACACTTGACTACCAGTTGGAAGGTTGACAGTCTGAATCTACCCAGAGGCATGATGTAAAAAAGGCCTGGCATCCTGCTTTTAAAGATTTAGCCAGGAAAACTTTATCGATCTTAATTCTTCTCTAACACATGGGGTTCACCATAACACTGGCCCTGACTTGATGGCAGATAACAATGACATAAGTTTAAGAAGGGCTAACATCTCGTTGCATCAGGAGTTTCTCTTTAAATAAAAATTAGATAGCATGAGTAAAACCCAAAACAGTGCTCTAACATACTCTATTTTGTTTTTTAAAACCTGATTTTTAAAAAATGTATATATAGAATAATGAAAGGGTTCAAATAAACTGAAAATGTAAAAAAAGTAATAATTTTATAATTAATCTCGTTCTTAATCATTGTTTAAATGTCAACATCAGAAGAAATTAATCCTCATCACTAAATAAATTAATAAATTCAGGTACTTCAAAATATTAATTTCAACCTTATTTACACAGACAACTGTTAATATAGTAGTCTTGCATCAACAAGTTAATCTTTTATATGTATATTTAACATTACCAATAAACATAAGTTTCAAGTGTGCTAGTTGGTGCAAATATAATCAGTGTTTAATGCAAGTATAAGAAGGGTTACTCTATAGCAGTAGTATTTTTGCAAACATTTATGGCTGATGTAATATCCTCTAGGAATGTGTAGGTATAAAGCAAATTAATTCAAGAATGTTCTATAGTAATAAGGCACTAGAAATAAAGGAGACAGGCTGGCTCATGTTAGTAAGCCCAAAGAGAATACGAAAATTTTATAACTAACATATATTTAATAACTAAATAATTGACCGTGTACTTTTGCTAGACTAGTCCAGGGAAAGAATCTGATGACAATTATTTCACTTTTTAAATATAAACTTTATTTTTCAGAATCTTCTTGTCAAAATTGTTTTAAGTCCAACTTAATAACAAGTAATAATTCTCTCCTATCCTGTTGCTGTCTTAGAAAGGTTTAGGATCCAATTGATCTATGTATTGTGATGAATTTTATGAGCCCCAATAAATTGATTTAAAAAAAAAAAGAAAGGTTTAGGATAATGCTACCTTCAAATGAACAAGTCCAATCTCAAATCTTAATGTTAGTTTTCATGACAGTAATACATATAATATGCATTGCCTATGAAAATACTTGTGGAGCCCTTGTGTGCTGTCAGGTAAGCATTCGACTGCTAACCCCAAGGTTTACAACCATCAATAGCCCAGCAGGAGAAAAAGGAGGCTGTCTGCTCTTAAAAAGATTTACAGCCCCCCAAATTTTTGTACAGCCTTGGAAACACAAAGTAGGGTTGATAATGAGGTGGAATTGACTCTAAGACAGTGGGTTTTTTAGGATATGACAACATTTAAGTGTATCAGTACTTTGCCATGGTCTGCTCTTGAAAAACCTATCCTGGAGCTAGGTTATCATGCCAAGGGTAAGAAGAAAGTGCAGATGACAGAGTGTTTCAAGTTAAACTCTAGGAAGGCCAGGAGGCTGTCAGGTTATTCAAGATTGGGAACAAGACAGATTTCAGTGGGTAGCTGAAATTAGAGGTGATCAAGTCAAGAGAGTTGGGATCCAGAAGGCAGGAATAGCACAAAAAGAGGCTTCTCATCCAGTAAGTCAGAAACACCTTCAGACAGAAGCTTACATAGGCTCCTTTACTAACATTACTTTACTAAATATGTTCTGATATTTTCTAAGGAAAGTTAAAAGCTATCATTTCAGGAATCTGGGGCCAACTTTCTAACTCTTCCCTGTAGGAGGCAGTAATCATTCAGTAGTAGAATTCTTGCCTTCCATTTGGAAGACCTGATTGGATTCTTAGACCCTGACCTCATGTGCAGCCACCACTCTTCTGTTAGTAAAGTCTTGAGTGTTATGATGCTTAAGAGGTTTGAGTGGAGCTTCCAGACTAAGATGGAATAGTTAGAAACTGGTTATCTACTCAAAAAAAAAAAATATATCAATGAAAACTCTTTGGAATACAAAGGTATAATACACAACCTACAGCATGGCGGACCAGTGTTTCATCCCATTGTAGGGCGTCACAGTTGAGAGCAGCTATCAACAACAGTTATTAAACATGTCTCAGTGCCCCTCCCCTCCCCCGCCCTAGGAGGCTCATCCCTTAAGGTGAGTTAGTACCTCTATTTTGAATGAGAAGATACACCTGAAATAACAGGCTGGTTTTAAAATAAATGGAAAGCAGTGTAACTTATGACAAAACTATAATAAGTTGTGAATTATGAAGGGTTCATGAGGGGCGGGGGTGGGGAGGGAGGGGGAAAATGAGCAACTGATATTAAGGGCTGAGGTGGAGGGCAAATGTTTTGAGAATGATGAGGGCAGCGAATGTACATATGTGCTTGACACAATGGATGGATGTGTATGGATTGTGATGAGAATTACGAGCCCCCAATAAAATAATTTTTTAAAAATATAAATAAATGGAAAGCTTGTCATTAATCGCTTAATGTCATGTCATGTAAATTTTCATGTTTCTAAAGTGGCTGTTACATTATGATAGAAAAAAGTTTAGTTTTATTACTATTTTCTAAGTATGTTCCTATGTGCAAATAATCTATCCTTAAACATTCCTATTAAAGATTCTTGCAAAAAGTAATCAAAGCCTTTCTTTTTCATATAAATGGGGAGGATTTACTGAAATCTGGGTTTTTCCCCCCCTACCATTCAATGTGAAAAACAATAATAGTATCACAAAGACTCCTAGTATGTACATCACTGGTGTAGTGCTAACATGTTAGGCTGCAATCTGCATGGTCAGCCGTTCGAAACCACCAGCAGCTTCGCAGGAGAAAGATGGCTTTCTACTCTCATAAACAGTTATAGTCCGAAACCACAGGGGTGACGTGACTCACTATGAGTCAGCACTGACTCAATGGCAGTGAATTTGGTTTGGTTAATAGGTAATAAATAGTTATTGTAAATGGCTACTGTAAACCACTGATAAATTCACCTATTTTGCACCGTGTTTACCTATTCACTCTAAGGAGAAGACCAGATATAACCTATGAATCTGGCGTGTAGAACAACAATCCAAAGGAAGACAAAACTTTTACACCTTATGTGACTCTACAGCCTCAGGATGGATGGATGTATTTTTAACACTGCCTTAAGCCTCATTCTATACTTCTTTGCTTAATAAAAGTTAGTTTTTGATAGTATATGATAATTTATGAGCTGATTATATACCTCAATAAAGTAAATTTAAGTTACATAATCTACTCTATTACACTACAATATTTTATTTTATTTATTTCTTATTTTTTAAAATTTTATTAGGGGCTCATACAACTCATCACAATCCATGCACACATCAATTGTGTAAAGTGCATTTGTACGTTCATTGCCCTCATCATTCTACACTACAACATTTTAACATTCTCCTAAAACACTGTTTTATGTTTATAGACATACCTAGGTTTTTTACCCCCAAAAGTAATTTTTACTGGCATGACTTAAAAATATGGCAGGAACGGTTTTATTTCCTTATATAAATATAATTAATGTCATGTATAGGGGTCCAAAATTATGTTGAAACTTTAGGTTGAGATGTTATCAACCAACAACATTTTCTCATAGTTGAGAAATGATTACTGAAATATAAAGGTTCATTTTATATGTAATTAGTTGGCCAATTTGACTGTAGGTTTTCAATTATGATACCCAATTAGAATAAAGTTACATTTCAGGAAGATAATAAGCATAAGTGGAATTAAATAAAATGGCAATGATCCATTGGAAATTTCTCATGCCACAGTAACTAAAAAAACACAAGCAAACAAAAATATAAACATTATTTCAAGTATTATTTCTCAAAGATAATGTTTCCTGGAGTACAGAAGGAGCCATTTACAACATTTTATTTCCACCGTTTAAGAGATCTATAAACCAACCACATCTCTATGATTATAAAATGTAATGCTTCATTTGTTTAAAGCCTCAATTTTTTCAGTAACTCACTTCCTGGTGACTCACTGTAGACCCCGCTGCCAAGAATAAAAAAAGTCAAAAACAATTCTGACATTTTCGAGAGGATACTGTCATTAAATAAGAGAAGGGGAGTGGGGATCAATGAATAACAAGTGTGTAAACAATTTGCCCAAGTCAATAATTAGTTAACAGGGTGAATTTATTTAAAAGATCTTGTGAGAACAGATTATTAGGATATTACAAAATGGCAATTACCTTTTAAAACAACACAAAACAAGTTCTCTATGGGTCACTAAAAAGTAGTAATATGGGCCAGCTGGTCAAACCTTAGATAACTTTTTAATTTCTTCTACAAAAACTACTATATAATGTGATATAAACCTAGAACAAGTATGCTTTACTAGAACACCTGTAGCACTACACTCATGAGATGTTTAGGTGATTATGATATACTTTGATATAATGTTAAATATGGCTTATTAGAAGAAACTGAACAACTTCACATGTTAATCTGGTGACTTAAACTATACAATACAGCTGAAATCACAAACAAAAAATAAGACGTTTTTCAATAGCTAAAATATATCTCAGAAATTCTATGGTGGCAGAGTGGTTATGCAGTGGACTGTAGTCGGCATGGTCAGCAGTTCAAAACTACTAGCAACTCCACAGGATAAAGAAGTTGCTATTCTACCCCAATAAAGATTTACAGCCCTGGAAACCCTATGTAGAGTCACTATGAGTTGGAATCCACCAGATGGCAGTAGATTTTTAAAATGACTTTCCTTGAGACTGTTCTCCTGAATGAGGATGTTACAGCTCCCCAATACAACTTGTCTACTTTCAAACCAAATCATACAAAGAAGACATATATGCTATTGTTAGGTGCCATCAAATTGGTTCTGACTCGCAACAACGCTGTGTACAACAGAAACACTGCCCAGTCCTACACCATTCTCAGTCATTACTCTTCTCAATCCATGTCATTGAGTCTCACTTTTTCTGTAACCTTCTGCATTACCAACCACAATGCCCTTCTTCAGGGACTGGTCCCATGGATAATCTATCCAAAGTATGTGAATGCAGTCTCACCATACTTGATTCTAAGGAGCATTCATTCTACCTGTTCTTCCAAAGCAGGCAGACAGAAGCCCTGGTAGCAGTGGTTCAAACCCACTACCACATCACAGAAGATACGCAGTCTGTTTGTGTAAAGATCACGGCTTTAGAAATCTGATAGGGCAGTTGTACTTTGTTGTATGTGCTCACTATGAAGTCTCAATTAACTTGACAGCAATGGATTTTGTTTGGGAAATTACATAAGTGTGATATAACCCCAAATTGTATCTGTGGTCGATTGACTATGCTCAAGTAGTATTTTAAGGTGGAAGAAAAAAGTAGCCATGATAATTAAAGTGCATGATAAATAAGCATGCAAGACAAAGCAAGACTTCATTCTATTTTATAAAAGGTTGATATGAGTCAGCACCAACAATACTTAAAGAGAAGAAAACAAAATAAACATAAGACAAATTTAGAAGCAAAACTCTCACTGATACTTACCTCCTGGAAATACCGTTAGCCACACACTTATGACTAAAGGATTTGGAGGAGAGGGGTGACGAATTTGGGGATAAGTTGAGTGGTGCAATCAAACTGTTGATGATCTCAGTCAACTGTGCACTCTGCAAAAAAACAGTCAACTTTTTACCAATGGTAAGCAAGAAATGGGAGTTAAATTTCAGGTCTACCTTGCCCATTGGATAGTTAACATCTGATGAAACAAGCAGATGTTTACATTTTAGCATAAAGAGAGGGCTGCAAATGTCATTATCTTCTCATTCCATTTTCCACAAATATTTTGAAGCCCACTTATATTTTAAAATGGTTTACAAATATTCCCTCCTTTTCGATTTCCAATTTTGTTATAGTTTCTTTTTCTACTCATTCATCCTCTCAAGAAATGTAAGCTCACTTAATAGCATCTATATAATTGTATCCCTATATTTCCCCTTAAGGCAGCCAAATTAATAACAAATCATTTAATGTATTAAATGCTTACCAAGGGTCAAGTGCCTACTATGTACCTGCCACTATATTAGGTACTAAATACACATTATTTCTAATCCTTAAAGTAACTCCAAAGTAGATATTGTCAGTAACAAGTAATAAAACTTGTAAAGTTTATATAGCTCAATCAAAGGTTATAAAGTTGGTAAGAAATGGCGCTAGGATACAAATTCGAGCTGAATCCAATACTACATTTCCTCAATCTTTTTCTTAATACAAAAATAGCAGTTATTTTAGATACCAAGATTTTAATTGATCCTTATCGAAAACTTAAGTATATGAAATACTGAATTGTTGGCAAAATAGCACAGTATTGGTATATAAAAATAATTATTTCTATAAAATAATGACAACTATTTTCATTATATACTTATATATAATCCATGCTCATTTGAGGAAGAAATGGACAATACAGAGAGTTTTTAAAAAAAGTCCCCCTGTCAGCCAAATCACATCTCAGAATAAAAACATTACTAACATCTTGGTGTTTTTATCCCTCCAGTCTAAGTTTTTGGAGTATGTACATATAAGCATGAGTGCACACACCACATGCATACACACATATATTAAATCATACTACACCAATTTTCAAAAATCTGCTTTGTTCACTAAATGTAGTGTGGGGCTTTTAAAAATATATAGAGCCTATTTCACTGACTGTACATTATTCAATTACAAAACAGGTTATATGAAATAATTATTTTATGAAACAAATCACATGCAACTAGAATAATGAAATAACTTGATAGAACATTATTTGCCACCTTTGAAAATCTTTTATGAGAAATATCCAAAAATGTTTTGTTTTCTTGGCAGATAATATACGTGTACTGCCTTCATTGTTAAAAATTTCAAGATTAAGGCTCGTTTAAATATCATCAGTACAGATTCCTTAGCATTACAGATTCCTTGTTAATTCTTTAACAAGAATTCATTAATTTAGCCATGTAATTAATTTTATTCAGTATTTCATATACCTGTCGAAAGACTCTTCTAGTTATCTTTTATCTTTAAAAGTATCTGAAATTTTTAAGCCTTTGAAAGTAAGTAGTCAGGTATATGTGAATAATTAATTGGTCCAAGAAACAAAAATTTACAACGCTTAGCTTTACCCTAACAGCCACCCTTCACCTAGCCTAATAAAATAGCATATACTAAACCCATATTTAAGATAGGAAATTCACAAAAATGAGACTAAGAAAAAAATAGCAAAGAACTCTGAAAACAAAAACTTTAAGTCAAAACATTTAATAGTTATTCACGATAAAATTTCTAATCCAAATATCCCACTGGCAAAATTCATTAAAAATCACCTAAAATCTTTCAGTTATGAACAAATTATCTAACGGTTCAAGAATGTATTTTTCATACTTCTGTATTTGAACTGCTAATTCTTTAGCTCTTTTTGATAAATTAAAACATTTTGTTTGATAAGAAAAATGTTTACCTAACAAAACTAATTCTATTAAGCAAAAAGATTTCTTGATCTATATTCAAGTTCCACTATAGTCAATGGGATAATATACCATCATCTCAGAAAAATATACATAATATCAGACTTGAAATCCTTGCCATTCTTTCACTTCTAACCTTTAAAGAGAATTTACTTTAAAAAAAATTGGTCTATTAGCATATGCTTCAAGAGCAAATGGCCTGTTCATAAGCAATTTAGTAATGACCTACAAAGGACTGCTGCTGCCCTTTCTTACATCTCTTTCCTCTATTTTCTAGAACCCTAAACAACTCTTGTTTTGCTTCCGTCAAAGCATCTGACATCCCAGTCAGCAATGAGAACTGAAAAATGCGTATACTACTCAGTGACAACCTCATGGGCATGAGACCTGTCACACAAGGAAGCCTCTGTAATCAGAAAGGCCTTGTGCTTGGTTAAATGTTCTACGGTCACCATCTTAAAATTCTTAAAACATTTTTTAAGAATGGTTCCAAATTTTCAATTTGCACAGGACCTGGCAAATAAGACAATTCTGACATTAGCCCAGGTGTAACTAATCAAATTGGTGGCAGTAACAAGAAAAAAGAAATGTTTTCTAAAAATGAAAACACTACTGCAGTTATACTGCATTACTAATTAATTAATCAAGTTATTTTCTAATGACTAAGTAGAAACCTACAAGCAGAAAAGTAGATTAACTGAGATAGCAAGCACAGAATTTTTTTTTTTTAACATTTTATTAGGGGCTCATACAACTGTTATCCCAATCCATACACACATCAATTGTGTAAAGCGCATTTGTACATTGTTTCTCAAAACATTTTCTCTCCATTTAAACCCCCGACATTAGGTCCTCATTTTTCCCCTCTCTCCCCGCTCCCCCCTCCCGCATGAACCCTTGATAGTTTATAAATGGGTATTTTGTCATATCTTGCCCTGTGAGACGTCTCCCTTCATCCACTTTTTGGTTGTCTGTCCCCCAGGGAGGAGGTCACACACAGTTCCATGTAATCGGTTCCCTCTTTCCTACCCATTCTCCCTTTACCCTCCCTGTTTTGCCACTCACACCACTGGTCCTATAGGGCTCATCCGTCCTGGATTCCCTGTATTTTCAGTTCCTATCTGTACCAGTGTACCTCCTCTGGTCTAGCCAGTCTTGCAAGATAGAATTCAAGTCATGGTAGTGGGAGCGGGGAGGAAACATTTAGGAACTAGAGGAAAGTTGTATTTCTCATCATTGTTACATCGCACCCTGACTAGCAAGCACAGAATTTATTTTGAAGTCAACCTCCAGATCAACAATCAAGATCAAACTGAAGAGGACTGATCCTATGGTATGGAGTAGATGATGAAGAAAGAAAACAAAGAATATGACTAACACTCATTTATAGCACTGCTTCTATGTTTGAGTATATTCCAATCTCACATCAGCTAATTACAAAATAACTTTAAATTATAAACTATTCATAATACTGCTTCTATGGTAAAGTGCATTCCAATCTCACATCAGCTAGTTACAAAATAACTTATGAAATTATAAATTATTCATAAGTCTTTTGATTATTCATTCCACTTAAGGAAAACCAAGTAATTTTAAATTTAACAAATATGCAGCCAAAGGATTTAAACCCCATTCTTGCTTTTAGAGAGTAAAACCCTCTCCTGGTATAAAGAATTTCAGAGTATATCTGAGGAAAATTAGACACGGCAGACATGAATCCTAATCATTTCCCAGGGGAACATACGTTAAGAGTGATAATGTTCTGGCAGGTTCATTCTGGTCTTAGGTAATAAACTCCTGAAAAGCTGGATTTGTTGTAGAGCCACCAATGTTTAAGTAAAAATAACTGGTTTTACTTCAAAAGCAGATTGAATAATTAAACTCCTGGAGTAAAATATTATCCTAAGTATCAAGGAAGACTTTTGAATCAAAGTAATTTGTAAAGGGCTTCTTTGATGTTCCTTTTAAATGACTAGGTTTGAATGAAGAAACCCATATTTCAATATTGTCTCACCAAAGATCTCTTTTGATAGTCAAGTAACCATTCAGATTTATGTAATGGTAGTGCCAGTATCCTTCTTTCCCCCTACAACTATCAAGCAATGAACAACTTTTATTATAACAGTGACTTTTCAGTTCTGGTATAAATGAGTTATCACCTTGTGGCTATTTAATATGTCATACTTTAAAAAATCTAAATTATCAAGGGGAATGTAACAAAGAGGAAGTGCTGAAATCCTGGTGGGGACTGAGCATGATAGTGGGACAGGAGAAGAATCAAGGGAAATAGAGTAAAGAGCTGAGAGAAAAAGGGAATTTATAGAGGTCTAGATAAAGACATGTACATATGCAAATATATTTATATGAGGATGGGGAAATAGATCTATGAGCCTGTATTTATAGGTTTAGTATTAAGGTAGCAGA